TGGTACATGGAGTACATGTACAGTTTGTATTTAGGAGAAGTGAGCAATTTGGCTCTAAAAAGTTCTAAAGCACTGTACGCTTTATGACAAAAAATCCATTAACAGTCATACACATGTACATGTACCTCCTGTGAACAACAACAAATAAACAAATAAATAAAAATGAAAATAACCAAACAAAGACCATGTTCAACAACTTCCAATGTTTCAATCATCAAGCACTTGGCCAAAAATTGTCATTTCAGTATTTCATTAAAAAAAGGTCCTTGTGTGTTATTTAACCCTCTGAGGGAAAATAATCTTGCTTAATGAAATTTCCTGAGATGTAATTATTAGAAAATTGTGTTCGCTTTTATGATCTTTATTTATCATCACTGAGCTGTAACTTCTCTCACATGTTATGTGTACATGTGCATGTATGCTTTTGAATGGCTTGCCATCCACAATGATGTAGAACCTCATTATTTCATCCACACTGATGCTCCAGTTCCTCCTCCTCATCATCATCATCATGAAAAATGATACCATGAATTCCACAAATGAGATGACAGTTAGTCATTGCAGCATACATGTAGATCTGACTGACTCATGAATGCAATGAACTCTCTTCCCGCGAGATTGGTCTTTTCCGAGAGATTGAACGATCTGCCACCGGCTGGAGATCGAAACCCCGCGAGGACTTCCATGAAAGATATCATCTCTGCTTGATGCTAATTGAAAGACGAGACTTTGAATCGTGGACCAGTCATTGTCATCAATACTTGTGGCACTCAAAGCTAGGAGTAATACATTCATGAGGTGAATATTTTTCTTGTTGTCGCGGGCAGCGTTGCATGCGAGTTCCAAGATTTCGGCAGTAAGGTACACTAGGACGGCAGCCATGTAGAGAGGGGCTCTACCGCCAACATGTACAAATGTATGGGCGCTTGTAGAACTCAAGGATAATGGCGCAAAATCTACATGTACATGTATCTGCTTATTACGATTATCATCAGGGGAAGACTACATGTACATTGCAGTCACATTAAAAGGGAAACCCAATCCTAAAAGCAAACGACTCTCAAACATTGCAGACAAATCGGAGAAGCGGACTGGTAAAAGTTTGAACGAAATCTGACAAAAAATTAGAAAGTTACAAATTGTAATCGCTATACAAGTACATGCATGTATGGGCACTTCAAATTCCTATTCCATTCCCAATTCCTGCTTTCCCATTTATTCCAACACACTGAATGACTCAAACGTAATTTTTCAATATGTATGACTTACATGTAGGATGGTCTTTTCTTTTTAGAGGAATTGTAGTGATATACTCTCCATAATATACTTTGAGTACCGGTAGTGCCCCAAGAGTGTAGGCACTTGGGAGAAAAACAGAAATGAGTGATATTTTTATACAGACTAACGGGAGAGTTATCCCGGACAAAGTCACGATACACTAACCAAATTGCCAATTTGAGATTTGATTTCAAACATCCATAACTTTCATATTATTCGTCAAATTTAATTCAAACTTTTGCCATTCTGTTTCTCAGATTTCTTCTGCTGTCATTCAAATGAAATTAAATATTCCAAGGGTTGGATTGCCCTTTAATAGAATATGATAATTTTGTTATGAACGTTGATCTAGAGTGGGAGGAAACGGAATTTCCCAACCTAAGCCTGAAGAACATCCAGGTTATTACACTTGGTAAAATAGTGATTTCTCACAGATTTAATAACATAGTCGAAGACTCCCAGCATATTGCTTCTTTGTGGCATGCACAGGTGTAACATATTTCATGCATAGTATTAAGGCTGAGATATTATTAAGGCTGAGATGAAATATTGTGTGTATGTATGCTGTCAGAATGGAGACCAACTACAGTACATAGCCTGCAGGCTGTGCTCCATCTATCTTATTGTATTCCTAGTCCTTCTGTTAAGCATCACATATTTTTATCTCCCCTCTATGTACTTCAAGCTGTAGCAGTTTTCAACACAAAAGATATCATATGAAGCAGCTTACACCCCCCCCCCTTCTATTGATGATCCATAAATGTACATAATTATCCCACATGTGCAAAACCATGACACAATCACAATGCAAATATCATACTGCCCTTTCAACAACAGTGAGCCAGAGGCAAGCTGCATTAGTTCAAGATCATTCAAACAGTGATGGCCTCATAAACTAATTATTCCAACAGATCCCAATGATTGAAGGTTTCATGCCGCCATGTCTCGCTCCATTAAAAATCAGACGTGATCAGTGGCCGGTTATAGGCAAACAAAGCGTTGCCAATTTGTTTTCATAAAGGTATGCAGACATGGACAAGCAATTGAATGCATTATGAGTCGGGGAATCATTTGAATGTTTTAGGCATTAGTCCTAGACTGATTATCCTTGGGTAGACTGATATCTAGAGGGAGGTCGCCTATCGGGCAACCCTGTTGACAAAGCCAATAAAGCCTCTATCTGTAGACTGAAGTATCATGGGACATGTCTCGTGAAAAGGGGATTCTGAGAAGCGGCTATGTATATGTTCATGTACCTTTGAATATCAATATCTCCAAGGGCGCGTTCATGCTTGATTTTGACGGCCAGAATCAGGCATCTGTTACGCGTTTAGTTTAAAACACGCTTGCGTTCATGCTCACTTTTGTAGAATCACCGAAAAACGGTGATCACGATCGCCGATTGTAAACTCACAAAAAGATGCGTTTACAATTTGTAAACGCGTTTAAATGGGGTCAACGCACTCTAGTGGGTCTACGTAGCATGCGCACACAGGTTTGCGAATCCAGCTGAAGGCCACCCAAGTAGAATTGCCTGGAGAAGTGAGCATGAACAGTGCACCGTGGAACTGCGATTACGATGAGCGTTTACGATGAGCGTTACAAATCGCTCATTCTGCCTTCAAAATCAAGCATGAACGCGCCCCAAGTCAACCACATACAGTACACTGAATATCATCACTTTGATGTGTACGTAATGTGCTTAAACATGTATGTGTACATGTACATGTACGTACGGTACATGTACATGACTGTATCGACTATTGTCTTGCCAAGTTTAGCAGAGTGGCCAAGGGTATTGTGCAGCAGTATGCGTATTCCATTTTATTGCTCTTGGCAAAAGAAAGGAAGTATCTAAATTTGTTATGAGAACAATAATAACATAGGAAATCATAGTTTCAACGATAAAGAAATGTTTGTCAGTCAGTTCAACATCCACAAGAGTATGAACACTTTGTGAAATTGATGTTTGCCCTACATTTGTGTAATAATAATATCTAGATTTATGTAGCGCCTAATACAAAATTCCCTCTCTACCGGTAAGTGCTTTACAGATATTATTACCCTGGTTATCGGATTCATTCATGCACATTGTGCACCATCTCCACTCCCTGGGGAGTATTCCTACCATACATGTATGTATGTAGATGTACTGTACATTAATTTTCTTACATTGCATCAGTGAAAATGTCCTAAAACAACACAATGTCACATTGTATAATATAGATGTAATGTACAGTGTATGTGAAGAATTTGTGCTGAAGTGTGATGGTACTGAGATAAAAATGGATATTTATAAAACCTGAAGCTCACATTAAAGGTATTACAAAGTTTTGGGAAATTTTGAAAAATGGGTGGATAGTGATTCTTTACAATTTTGATATATTTGGATGCCCCTGTGGATGTATCAAAAGCACTAGAAATTTTAGGCCCTAAAACGCTTCTGCTTTCGAGAAAAATTGAATATAAAGATTTACCGGTACTCCCGGTAAATTTTGAATTTTTTTCAAATAGCTCCTACGGCCGTACAATGGTAGCTGCGACCATGAAAATCTCAGAATACGTAGTTGTGGTATATAATTTCCGAACGGGAATAGCTAATCGGTCGATTTTAGTCAAGAAACATTGTTTTACAGCTTAATTAATATCTTGACCTTGAGAGGGAGCTATACAACATAAAAGGTTTATTATTTACAATTTCATAACTTTAAAGTCGATTTCGACCGCGACAACGATCAGTGAATATTGTAGGATCGCATATGCTTCCAATATGTTCATTTGAACCAAATTCATGACCCCATACCAAAACTTTGTATTACCTTTAAGTGGAGATTTCAACAAATGAAATATCAAGATACAAAATCTCTAATATATATGCTCAAGGGGTTATTTACAAAGATCCTAATTCGATTTTAACTCTAAGTTGGACTTAAACATATGGAGAGCCATTTGAAGCTTTAAGATAAAATATATTCAAAAGCAAAAATTCAAGTATTTTAAACTTTTCATAAATTTCACATCAAGAACATGAAATCTTTTTAATAATAGAAAATATGAATGATTTGAATCAACATTTTATGCCATTTAAAATAATTTTCACAAAATATTTCAAAGATGCTAAAGGCTTTCCTTAATTGTTGAAGAGAAGGATGAGTTCTGGGAAGAGGTGAAAAAAAATTTGTGAGCGTTATCATTCTTATTATACAAGTGTGGAAGAACATCAGATAAGACATGTTCCCTGAAAAGCATGGCAATTCAAATGCCTTCATATTCTAAATATGTCATGTAACATCGTAAAACTCGGGGGTAGGATTTTTACGCCACGTGTTCGTGTAGTCCCATATACATCTTTCTGAGTACAGTGTTTGTAATTTTACCAAGATTTGGCCAAATTTCTTATCATTTTGATGATTCCAGAACCTTGCACTACACACAAATTCTTATACATGTATATGCTAGATGATCAACCTTTTCTGGTCGATTCCACACCGTTTCTTTCACAATGCAATCGCATGACCAGAACTCAACTTCATCTTTAAGTCCAACTTCGAAATAAGTTCAACTTAGGATCTCTGTGAAACACCCCCCAGATCTCTTATGAAGATGTGAATGTCTTACATTGAAGGACTTTCACTACAGTATTTGTAGCTTTGCATGTCATTATAAACGTTTTGTTGATGTTGTAATCTCACAAACATTCTTTCTGTCTTTTTGTCTTGCAGAGCGGAGAAAACAGAAGTACTGAATGATGAATTATTACAAGTAAGAACTCTTTCTCTTTTGTCATACTACATCTATAGAGGGTTACTATTTTCATTTATATTAATTATAGATAAATTGATATTTGTGAAGAATTTTATTTGCGATTTTCAGAGCACTTGGTTATTTTACCTCCCATTTCATGTTTGTTCTGTGGTTTTTGAGTCATGTTATTTCAAATGTTATGCAGTGGGTTTTTAGGAGGTTTCTTCGAACTAGGAAGTACCCCCATATTAAAAGGGTTTTCCCCCTATTTTGCCTTACTGTGAAAGTAAAGGGGCAAAGGAAAAAACAACAATTGTATAGGGTTTCTCTTGGAGACGGAAAACTCAAAGCTTGAACAATACCGTTGCAGCCAAACTAAATTACTGTAACTTCCTTAAAAGTGAAATTGATGCTTGTCTAAATACTTCACTGCTTCATTTTGAACTGATGAAAATAAAGGACTTTTTTTAGCAGTATCTTATCATGGATCAGTGAGTGAATGAATGAATGAATGAATGAATGAATGAGGTAATAAGAACATTGAATAGGGAAGCTATGGAAGATCTAAAAGAGGGGGTTTCCCCTGATTATTTGAATTGAATTGAATTGAATTTATTCACCTCTTTCATAAAAACATACAAAGGCAAATAGTACAATAAAATATTTCTTGCAAACATAGATAAACCAATAAATGGAAAATACATGAGAGATTTGGACCTTTCATTTTCACTCTCTGATTTGGTATATTTACTTGCAGTGTATATATATAGTCACTTGATATGAAAAAACAACAACCTCATATTATGCATGGTAACTTTGACATCAATATTCAGTACCATGGCAACAGCAATCAACACCCAATCAAATCAAGGTTCCCATTCTAGTTACCATTCATGGCGAAGTTACAATTAACGCTAAGTTTCATGCAACTGGCCTTGATACATTCATGTCTATGATCTTGTACAGTTCCCATGTGAGATAATTCCTTTTGAATGTCCCAGAGCAATCTTGAGACTCGTCACCAAAGATGTTTGTATCTTGTCTTTTGTCCTTTGTAGTGTGAGAAACGGACGGAACATATCAAGCACACATGTCAGAACATCACAAAGAAGCTCTCAGGATGTCTTATCGGCTCAGGCACAGATGTGGAGAAAAGAACGGTAAGTCTCTGTAGGACTTACATCAGTCTTTTAAGTGTCGCTTGCTGGAGAGAGGGGGGGGGGGGGGGCACATGGTTGTGACAACTTCTGACCTCATTCAAATTGTGTACCCTTTTAAAAAAATATAAAAAAATCAACTGTTTCACCTTGTCTGACCTCCCTCCCCCACAACCCCCCCCCCCCCCATTCCAAGTAATCTAGCAACAGTCCTGGTAGTTTTCTACATTTGTGAAACAATACATGTATGCAGTTTATATCTTGAAGATGATTTTTAATACCTTTTGAACAGCTTTAATCTCATATTTTGTCCTTTGTAAATATCTTTACAAATTTGTAAATTTCTTTACAAAGCCATAAATGTACTGTACATGGTTCTTTTATTTCCGCACTTCGTAACATTTTAAAATTTAAATTTTGTTTCTTTTCATTAACAGAAAAAGCTTCCACATTCTGTGCTATCACAGAGTATGGGTGAAATGAGCACAGAGTTAGGTGAAACTACATTACTGGGGTAAGTCAACACAGATGCACAAATGTAGATCACGTTGTATACCATTTGAATTGTATCTCTCATCTCTGTAGTCTAAAAAACAGACACTTTTCCAACCCAATTAGTACCTCTCTTGTATGAAACATGTTGGTGGCTGGACCCAAATAATTACATTCTATTTTAGGAGACACCACAGAGGAGTCAATACAGATGCGCAAATGTAGATCACGTTATTCTTAGAGTGTACCATGTGAATTGTATCTCTCATCTCTCTAGTCTACAAAACAGACTCTTTCCGACCCAATCATTACCTCCTTTGTATGATACATGTTGGTGGCTGAACCCAAATAATTACATTCTAGATTGAGTTCACAGATTTAGTGGAAATATCACCTGGTTTTAGCTAGAAGGGCATTACGTAATAACCTTTTTGATATAGAGTTAACACCCTTTGGCTCTCAATATATGATATGTTTTGGTTACGGTAGGGGGCTTTAATATGTGTTTGGATACAATCTACATGGACATGGTTATAGTTTACATGTATGTATTCCAGTGCTGTGAAGTGTGTTGTAGACACTATGGACATGACTGACAAAGAAAGCTGACAAAATATACAGTTCCTCAGGTAGACAAAGGAACATCCCTTCACTGCTATTACCGGTATGTAAAAATGTGTAGAACAGGTGCCACATGCTTATTCACCTGTTCTACACATTTTTACATAATAGCAGTGAAGGGATGTTCCTTTGTCTACCTGAGGAACTGTATATTTTGTCCGCTTTCTTTGTCAGTCATATTCATAGTGAGAGGCTTCCAAATGCCAAACACCTTTAAGCTACCATGACTAAACCATTTTGATGGTCTGGCAAAAGGGGCAATCTGTTTTCTTTTCAAAAGCATTGATCTCTTGTGTGACTCTTGTGGATCGGTCCTGATTTATTCATATGTTCAGATGCTTCCTTAATTGCCTATAAATTAAACTGATGCATTTCATGTCGCTGCAATTGTTCCTTATCATCGAGATCTAAAGTTCTACAATTCATGTTGTACAAAGAGTGAACGAGCCAACCTGAATGTCAAAATCACGACCAACACGATGAATCTGTCAAGCGTAAACCATAGAAAAGGAACGACCTCATTTAATAACTGACATATGTTGAGATGATTACCATTACAACCAATAGGCCAAAACAGAATTCTGTATGCATGAGTAATATGCTGATTCCAATAATTTGTAGTCAGCTGTTTACAGTTTAGCCTCGTGTCAATGATATGCAAGTTATTTGTCTCACTAGTAACCTTACCACAGGCATAATTTTATTTTATTTTAAAGTTTAAATTGAAGGCTCTTTATATAGGATAGGAGCTTCAGGAATATGTACAAATTTAAGTTGGAGCATATATGATATTATCCTGCATTTTAAAAGCTGGATTATTATCAATTATCAATCTAAAAGAAATTAAGCCTTTGGTAGAGACTACACACACTACCAGCTGAGCTGCAGCGATCAATAAATGATTTGCCTTGGGTTTTTAGTACACGGTAGCTGTATAAATGTGTCGCTCCCTTCGGCATTGGCAGTAATAGATCAGGTTTCATGGATGTAATCCATATTGTGCTGTTTCTATATTATAATTCTATGCAAACGAGACAATGTTTGTACACTCAATAATGGAGTTGCATGTACATGTACAGATGTATACATACATACCTTCTTCTAATATTTTCTATTACATTAAAATGTGCAGTGTATGTACTACACATGTATAATGTATTGTATTTGTGCATACTATTGCTGGATATTAATGTACACCAATGTACATGTATGTATCTACTGTATAAACCAATCATGAACACAATTAAAGACAATTACATGTGTAACTAAACTCATGTAAATCCCAAACAGAACATCAAGACGTCATATCCATTCACATACATTCACCTCGATACAGAATATGGTTAATTATTCATAAAACTGAATATGAACTTTAAAAGAGTACTATAGTACATACACAACTGAATATTAGCTTATTGGATGTATTGACCTCTAGTGGAAGCTTATTAATTAATGTGAAAATGCCTTCATCATTTATATGTAGTAATGTATGCATGTACTTTATCAAGTCCATATAGAACGAAGTAGATGCAGGTGCCATTCTAATATAAATGTACAGTCCTAATGTACATCGTATGATATCTGACCAAATACTCATCACTTATTGCAATTATAAATTTTATTAGCTGGTACTTCTGTTCAGATGGCATTGCGCATACTGTTTTACGACCTGTCAGCACCATGTGATAACGTTAGTAGCAATATTAGAGAGTGATCAGAGAGAATGGCTGAAAAAAAATAGAGTAATTTTCTATCATTAATTAGGTGTGAAGGACGCAGGACTTTCCTATTGAATGACAGAAATGAGACACACTGTTCCCTATCAGTGGCGTAGCTAGTCATGGGTCCAGTTAAGGGAGAGGGGGGTTGGGGGGGGGGGGGGGAGGTACTCTTGTTAATGGGAAGAGGGTGGGGGTGCAGATGACAGAAATGAGACACACCGTTCCCTATCAGTGGCGTAGCTAGTCATTGGTCCAGTTTAGGGAGGGGGTGGGGGGGGGGGGGGGGAGGTACTCTTGTTAATGGGGAGTAGGTGGGGGTGCAGATGACAGAAATGAGACACACCGTTCCCTATCAGTGGTGTAGCTAGTCATGGGTCCAGTTTAGGGAGGGGGCGGGGGGGGGGGGGGGGGGGAGGTACTCTTGTTAATGGGGAGGAGGTGGGGGTGCAGATGACAGAAATGAGTCACACCGTTCCCTATCAGTGGCATAGCTAGTCATGGGTCCAGTTTAGGGAGGGGGGGGGGGGGGGGGGGGGGGGGGGAGGTACTCTTGTTAATGGGGTGGGGATGCAGATGACAGAAATTAGATACACCGTTCCCTATCAGTGGCGTAGCTAGTCATTGGTCCAGTTTAGGGCAGGGGGGGGGGGGGTACTCTTGATAATGGGAAGGGGGTGGGGGTGCAGATGACCGAAATGAGACACACCATTCCCTATCAGTGGCGTAGCCAGTCATGGGTCCAATTCTTTTTTTGAAGGGGGGGGGGGGCACTCTTGTGAATGACGTGAGGTGAGGTAGGGGAGAGACAGGTCTTACAATGGATAGAAATGAGACATACTCTCCCTTGTCAGTGGCGTAGCCAGGTTGGGTGTAGCATGAGCCTAGCCATTGAAGGGGCCATTTTATGATGGGGAGGGGGGAGTAGCGTAGGACCAGCCATTGAAGGAGGTACCCCGATGATGAGGGTGGGGGAGGGGTTAAGGTGACATGAATAATATAAATGAAACACCCGTTTTAAATCAGTGTTATCGTTCAGCCATTAAGAGGTCACTTTTTGTGGGGGGGGGGGGGGGTGGGGTGCTTGTTTTGCTAGATTAAAGGGAGGGTGGTGAGTGGCTACATGTACAGTATATCATTTACTGTCATGTTTCCCCTTTTCATTTTATTTAAACTACGAGAATCAAAATATCAACAAATTGTAAATACGGTATCTATTTAGGCCTAGCATTTCTGACCAACTTAAAGGTAAAGACCAGTATTGGAAATGCCCCAATTTCAAAAAATGAAATGGAAGCTCTCATTACCAATCATGTGAAAGAATATGTTTTGACTAATACATGATGATAAAAAATTTGCCGGGAAACTGCCTACTAATTCATATATTTGGTAAATTTGTTTCTCTCATGGTCTGTGAGAGATATAGGGTAGTCCCATATACATCTTTCTGTGTATAGTGCTTGTAACTTTACGAAGAATGGGCCAAATTTCTTATCATTTTGATGATTCCAGAACCTTGCAGATGCTAGATGCTAGATGATCAACCTTTTCTGATCGATTCCACAACGTTTCTTTCACAATGCAATCGCATGACCATAACTGGTCTTTATCTTTAAGCATTTTTATCATTACGTAAATTATATTCACTTACTTTTTTCTTCCTCTCTCTCTGTTTACAGATCTATGTTGGTGAAGACTTCAGAAGCATGTGCTAACATAGCCCAGGAACTCACTAGTCATGAAATGGGTCTAGAAAACCTGATCCTCATTCCATTCAACTCAGTCCTAGAGGTAAGGTTTCATGTAGTGTTTTACAAATAAATTGGGGTTGTATGACTCGATCCTCTGCAGCAATACCTCCGCATTAAATTCCTACACTAACTGAATTCTTGACTTCAACCTCAGACCCATCCATTGCCATTGTTTCAAATTTGAATTCTATTACTGTGATTGACATTCAACTTCAACTAAATACACTGGAAGTGTGCATTGCTCGTTCCCACTATGTTCACAGACTATTATAGATTTAATTGCTCTTTTGGCCCTTTTAATTACAAACATGGGCTCCTCAATATTTCACTTTTCTTCAAATTGATACAAGATACTCTCTATCTGTTCTACTGTCTGTCATTTAGAATTCTTGTATATTTGTACCATGTATTTTGTGAAATCATTGCAAAATGTGACAATTGGGACTTGGGAGTATGACAAAATAAACTGAAAATGAGCTAAGAACCCAACCAATACCCAATCCAAACCCAACCTAAACCCTGACCCTTACATCTAAAGATCAGATACAGGTATACTGACATTTTTTTTGTGGTTAAAAATGTAAGTCTTGGACTTGCCCACATGTACTTCTTTCTAGGAAAAATTCCACCTCCTATGAAGGAAATGGAAGACTTAACTTAACCAGACATTTCCTAGCTCTTAAGATATTTCCTGGTATCATACTACAAACAAAATAGGTTTTCTTTCATTTTCTCATCATTCACACAGTGTTATGAGTGTTGTGTCCTTAACCCGGTGTTTATACTTGAACTGTCACAATGTATTCAAAGAAAATATACATTTGATGCATCATCAGGAAACAATTAAGTGGTAATACTTAATTAGCTACAAGCAAGAAGGCCGTTACTGCCATTTTTTTAATGCAAAGCTGTTACAGCCTTTTTGTGGGCAGTTGATGATTTTAAAGTTGACAGAGTCAATAGGTGTACATGTACGATACATGCTCGGGCATCAATTGCACTGCGGTCTATATCAGTTCTTGACCAAACGCCAAACTCCTATTACCATAACCCTATACCTAAATGTACACCCAACTATAAACTCATTACAATCTTAGCTCTTACCCTACATGTACATGTATATCTGTGACAAATTAAAGGTAATACAAAGTTTTGGGAAATTTTGAAAATTGAGTGGATAGTGATTCTTTACAATTTTGATATACTTGGATGCCCTGTGGATGAATTATAAGTACTAGAAAATTTAGCCCCTAAAACACTTCTGCTTTTGGGAAAAATTTAATAAAAAAATTTACTGGTGCTCCCGGTAAATTTTGATAAATTTCAAATAGCGCCTACAATAGAGAGCTGCGACCATGACAATCTCTGAATATGTAGTTGTGATATAAAGTTTCCGAACGGAAATAGCTAGTGGGTCGATTTTAGTCAAGAAACATTTTTTATAGCTCAATTAATAATCTTGACTTTGAGAGGGAGCTATACAGCATAAAGACTTAATTATTTATAATTTCATAACTGTAGACTCGATTTCAACCGCGACAACGATCACTGAATATTGTAGGATCGCATATGCTTCCAATATGTTCATTTGAACGAAATTCATGGCCCCATACCAAAACTTTGCATTACCTTTAAGCCTGGAGTAATTGTCTACCGGGTCATTGTTCAGCTCCATACAAATGTCATAGGCTGGAGCCCCTTGCACTGTATTGCTTCTGTCAACCCAGAGGTCATGTGTATGAGAATGTATTTAAACTGCAAAAGCTCTTTGTAGAAGTAATATTTGAAGCTCATATTTTAGTAAATCAACATGGAACCCTTACATCAAAAGCAAGACATGTTTTGGTACACTTTAAAAAACTGTGTCACATGATATTGGTACAATGAGTTCACTCATAATTACATATATTTATTTTAATTGTGTGTCACAAGTTTGCAGAGAAATAATAATACCTTGAACCAAAAAAATAAAAAATACCTTGAACCACTTTCCTTTATAAATGATTTTACTTCCGACATCATGATAGCGGTGATTGTGCCAAACACATAGTTTTCAATTGTTTTCTATCAATATCGAATCACAGAGTCATTGCTATTGTGTAGGAATGACAGTATTACTTACACCTAAGGCCTGTCCTCATCAGCTCAAATTGGCCAAATAGCCTGCTATTTATGATTTAGGAAATTGGCCTTATTGCAAAATAGCAGGCTATTTTGCGGGTGAAGACACAAATATCTGGCTATTTGCTTGGGAAATCTTCCCAAGATATCTTGGGCTAGTTTGCAAAATAGCCAGCTATTTGTCCAGTCCGTCTTTGCCAGCCTGAAGACTCGCACTATGCATGAACGCTGAGCTAATTTCTCGAGCTCGAGTTTCGAGCTGATGAAGACGCGATTTTGTGACTTCGGGCTCATTTCCTTAATCAGAAATAGTGGGCTATTTGGCCAAATAGAGCTGATGAAAACAGACCTATAATAGAGATAAGGAAAACAAAATGCCCGTGTGAATGTGCTCAGTTTCTCATATGAGTGTCATGTTTAACAGCAGTAGGCCGCTGTGGTTTAGAGTAGGAGGGTAGTTCACACTCACACACCTGTAGAGGAAAGCAATCAAGAACAGGAAGAAGAGCAGGAAGTTCCTTTTGTTGTGTAATTTTCCTCTTCAGAGACACAATACGTGTATTAACAGGGTGATCCGTCGATGTCGATATAGATTAAGGCTTCCGCTAAATAGGTGTGAAATGCACATACACTGTACATACATGTACTTGTAGTTGTATGAAGCCTGTAGGCCTGCAAATGTACAGTACAATACAATGTATGTATTGGTATGCAAACTGTCAATTCATACAGGGTGTACTTACATTTTCATACATGTATGTGCAAACATTCACTTTATATGTACATGTAAAAGCCTAACCTGTATATAAAGACAACCTAAGAGAGCCAAGAAACATTCATTCAGCAGGTGGTCTTTATATGTTTCTATGTAAATCACTATTTAAGGGAAATGAAAAATGTGGTCATTGTAGACAGGTGGCCGTTTTATACAGGTGGATGCTATTCAGACTAGATCAGGTTTTGACTACCGGTACATGTGTGATGTGATAGAGCAACGTCGATCTGGCGCTGCTTAGTGGCTGCCGGGCTCACGATCAATTGGGCAAAAAGAATTTCTGTTTCGGTTTAATAAAATTTGGAGTGGACTATTAGGCTATTTTTAGGCTATTATTATATATTATATTATATATATTATATTAATATGTATCGATTTCAAGCCTTCAAGGACTCTTACATTTTCAACTGTACTACGTACATGTAATGTTGTGATTAATCTAAGAACAAGTATTTTTTTAACGTGTTAGGTCGTGGGGCAAAATTTAATCAAAGGCCTTGTTGTGCATATGATGAAGTGCCTTGATAAGAATTTTGTCTGTTATAAAAGAGTAGGAGGGTAGCTCACACTCACACACCTTCATTATTTGTTATTGTGTATTCATGAATATGCAAATCGCCATTTTGAGGAAAATTTCCTTTTAAATGTAAACCATATACATGTGTATTACATTTTCCTCATCCCGTATTTTCCTGTACTTTCTTCTTCTATATACATGTATGTTGTACATTGTTTTTATCCCCTAAAATTTCTCCAAACCTAGATTTTTTTATACTGCTATAGTGCCCTGTAATCCATACTACAGCATAGTACTATACCTTTAAGAAAACCAATTTGTTCACATGCTTCGTCAAGTACAAGAAAAGTGCACTACTCTGTATTAAAGTAGATGTATAAGGGGATTGATAAGGAAGCTACATGCCTGTACATGCAGTCTAGTACCCTTGAAAGCAATGCCTAGCTGGTCACAAATTTGACTGATGGGATCCTCAAATACTCTTCTCCGATAGACGCCCCCCCCCCTCCCCCGAAAGAAAATTACCCAATATGAACACGAAAATAGACCCAAGATTTGACGATAGTGATCCTGCCGTCTGTGTCGCCATGGCGATCTAATTCCTCCACCATCGCAATGAGTGAGGGAGGGAGCAGCGAACGCTAGAGCGCATAATCTCGGGCGAGAAGTCGACTAGCTTTCAGACAAAATGGGCTATTGATTGAACAGCTGCGATATTAAGTCATTAATGAGTTTGTTCTAAAAATATGTCATAATTTCTTATCTTTGGGGTGCTGAGTAGTAAAGTGTGACTGAAAAAGGGAAGAATTCCATTGAATAATGTGTAAGAAGCTATTCAGTTTCACTTTTGATGATAAACCCTTCATGTATTATAGTAGAAACATTTAGATATACTGCATTGCACCTCAATATTTATAAACAAAAGGCAACGAAGAAGAAAAAAAAACTCTAAAAAAGAAGAGATGGTTTATTATGCATAGTAGGAGTGAAACCAGAATTTTGACAGCTTAAACAATTAAAAAAGTTTCTATACCCATATTTATCAGCTGATCCGAGGAATTCAGAAACTATTTCTTAGTAGTTGATCAATTTCGGTAAATTTGTCAGCTAAAGTTTGTCCAATATATCCAAGAGTCATGCTCTAAAGACCTGGAAGAAAAAAAGAATCAAGATACAATATGTACATTCCTTTTTCTGCACTTATTTTGTAAAGTTTATAGAATTTACTTTCTTACTTATTGTTTGCAGGAAAGCATCCCTCAAATCCAGAGCAATAAAAGGAGATTAGTCAGACTGACTCTGGATCTGGACTCAGCAAAAACCAGGTAAATTTCCTCAATAATTTCATGATTACAGAGAGCATAATTAAAGCAAGAATACTACGGTAGACGTTTCCTTCACAGAATCTATAAGGATCTATTTAAAATTAACTTATTTTTGTAATAGTAATCTGTGGATGGAAGCATGTTGTGTATGTTTTTTCATGTTGCTATGTCAGGTTATCATGGGTTGTTAAATTAACTCTTTTTTAATAGAGGAAGTACTGTATCCATGTCATGTACAGATCAAGAGCTAGGTATTTACAGTGGAAGCGATATTGAACCACTGTAATACAGAAAACCCTTTTTCCTCTTCTCTGTTGTACATAGTGTAGAGGTGTTGTGGTCTAGTGAGATAAGTCACCTGACTGCCGATCACAAGGTACGGGGTTCAAATCCCAGCCCAGCCCGGCACTAACATCCTTTGGCAAGACGTTAATCTACATTTGCCACTCTCTACCCAGGTGTTAAATAGGTACCCGGTAGGAAGCCAAAGTTGATGTAGTTTGCTCAGTATTGTGAGCGTCTGTAAAATGACGCCTGGCTGGAATTTTCCCCAGGGAGTGGAGAATGTGCATACATTGTGTGCAGGCAAGTCTGAATTCGAAGACCGGGGTAATATCTGTAAAGCGCTTAGAGACATTGTGGATGAATTAAGCGCTATATAAAAAGTGGAATACTATTATTACTAATTTTCTTAGTTGCTTTTAAATTTATAGACTATCAATATTGTCTTTACATGGGTCGACATTCTTACCGTTACATCCTCTTTCCTCCATTTTCATGAATTGCAAATACATGTACCTGTCAGTCTCTTGCTTGCATGCCCAGGTTGATTTTAAATGCACTTGTTCCTGGATCACATACTGTTTGATAGGAAACACCCATTCTTTTTTAAACGCAGGAAATAATTAGGAATGTAGAAAAACCTTGATGGAGATAGAACAATACTTTCCTCGAACTGAAAGCAAAACCAGTTCCTTGCCTCTATCTATTAACAATCATCTCTGAAGCAAGAAATGATTTATTTGCATGCTGTCCTTCCAAGTTTGTTTTCTTCCTGAAGTGCCTTGTAGTAATTAAAGAACAAAGGCAGAAGCTTTAAGTGCTAATATAGCAATTAAATAAAATTATTAACATCAAAGTTGAAACTTCACTTCAAATATAAAGATCACACTGCGCTATGTTTATTTATTAATTTATACTTAAATTCAGTTTGCTTATTTGATTTTTTTTTCGTGTACATGTAGATTCTGAAAATGTCTTCTTTTTTGTTAAATGTAGATTGAAAAAACCTAGCAACATTATATTTCTTTATTCTTTAATTCTTCAAAGATATCTTCTGAAAACAAGGATATGAAGTTTAATTTTGGAAAGGAAAACTTATTACAGAGGGGAATACATTGTTTACCTTTTATGTAATATGTTGATACAGACATTTAACCTTTGGACCGTTCCATAGAGAAACAGCATTTAAAGGATTTCCTATCAATAGATTTACATCCCTTGAAACAACTTTGGTAATATCTTGCTTTCTGTTGGTTTAACAGATTACAAAGCTCAAAGAATGCATGAACAGAACTTGCTAAATTGTTAAATGCGAATAACAGGGCTATACATGTATATGAGTTTGTTGATATTAAGAAACAAAATGTTCTCTTATGAAGAAAAAAAAATGACTTGGGTAGTTGTACCTGTAAAACATGTTCCGTGATCTTCGATTGAATTAGAACATCTACTATTTAATTTCACTTTTTCATTCTTGATACATAATAATATGAAGAACATTTCTTTAAAGGACTACATGTTTATGCATTGCAGGAATAAAATATGTGTAAGAGGGATATCCTTGTAACTCAATTCCTAGAGCTTAAGTTACGAAAAAATATATTTTGCTCCCTCAAGTGATTTTGCTGTTATTATAAGTTGATCTCACTGTTCTCACATTTGCTATATTTTTCAACTAGATATGTGACAAAATGATTTCCATTTGATACACTGTTTGACCGACCATGCATAGCCATGCAAGGTCATTAACAGATTTTAAGAAAAGCTGTCCCAATGCCACAAGTATTTAATAAAACTAAGCCACATATACAGGTAGAAATGAACATGTATATCTTTAAGTGTGACTGTTAGCATCCCTTGGGATATACATGTAATTATGGATGAAATTGTCATAAACCTTGACATACAATGTACGTCTGCCTGCCTGAAGACGTCTGGGCCATGTTGCATCCCAAATATAGCACTGACACATGTGCAAACTATCCCCATCAGCCCCCAAAATAAATATTAATCACTCATGTCGTATGTGAAAGAGAATTATCAGAGACAGTGCAGTCCCATTGATTCATTTTTGTGTCTGCTTCTCTACTCTATGTTGTCTGCAGTCTGCTTCTCAACATTTTGCAGTATTATCCTGAATAGGATTTTTCAATGTATTCATTCAGTAGTTTTGATACCTACCATCCCAGTATAGCTTCCTGAGTGAGCTGCCAAAGGGATTACCCAACCAAGTACCAAGATACTAATTTTCATTTTCTTATAATCATATTAACATTTCAAATGCATATTTTATCTGTGATATGTTTTTAATTATGCTGGGCCACTATGGAAATCAGCTGTTGTTGTTTGGGTGATCCATCCCATGAAAGAATAATAAATGAATGAATAAATGAATACATTATCAATGAGAGGAATAATAAATGAATGCATAAATGAATACATTATCAATGAGAGGAATAATAAATGAATGAATAAATGAATGCATAAATGAATGCATAAATGAATACATTATCCATGAGAGGAATGATAAATGAATGCATAAATGAATACATTATCAATGAGAGGAATAATAAATGAATGAATAAATGAATGCATAAATGATGCATAAATGAATACATTATCTATGAGAGGAATGATAAATGAATGTATAAATGAATACATTATCCATGAGAGGAATAATAAATGAATGAATAAATAAATACATTATCCATGAGAGGAATAATAAATGAATGAATAAATGAATACATTATCCATGAGAGGAATAATAAATGAATACATAAATGAATACATTATCCATGAATAGGCCTCCACTTTGTGCATTCATTCATCTCAATGTGTATTTGCGAATGCTAAAGAGTAATAAACATTTGATGAAAAGTCTTAATAATCCAAATCTAAATAATCCAAATCTAATTTAGATTTTACTAATTTACTTGGCTATATCACTCATGTTCTCATGTACAAACTGAGAGCTACCAATAGTTACAGATAGGTCAGAACATGATGTTTCTGACAGAATATGATAAAAAATATATGTAGTATAGCTTGATACTTGAGCATGGAATAGTTGACCTTGTTGATACATACATGTACAAAAGATAGAACTGTTTCTTGAATGTCACTGTATGTTAAAGGCATACATGTAGCTCCAGAGGCCAGAGCAATTGTTGGGGGTCAACCCAATGTAATTCAACCTTAAAGATAAACTCCAGTACTGGTAAAAAAAAAAAATTAATTCTCACAGAATCAAACGAAACTTACACTGAATGTTCAAGATTACAAATAAATGACATGTGCCAAACAATTTTGGAAGAAAATGTATACTGGCTGAGTAATGAGCATAGAAAGACAAGGAAATCAAGGTAGTACTAGCCCCGACACCATGTGTGCTGTCCCATATATAGCTTTCTATGTGAGTGCTTGTTACTTTACCAAGACTCGGTCAAATTTATTATGATTTTGATGACTCCAGAACCTTGCAGTGCACACCAATACTTACATGCTACATGATCAACTGTTTCTGATCCTTTCCACACCTTTTCTTTCACAATGCAATCGCATTACCAGTACTAAAGTTTATCTTTAACCCTGACACCATGTTTGCTATCCTATTTCTTTAAGAAAAACAAAGTTGCTCTCATTCCATCTCGGGGCAGGTATAAACAATGGTTTGACCTCCAGACAGGACTAGGGTCAAGTCTTTTGGACTTCCCTCATTTTATGAGTGGAATAGGAAAACATGGATTTAGCATTGTAATTCAAGTTGGGGCATTGTCAAATACTTGGCCTTTTTACACCGTTTGATTTTTGTTTCATAATTATCCCTACGCTGTAGGTTTTCTTATTTTGATAATTTGATTGTTTGTTTGTGAAGCTGTTTTTAATTGTATTAGGTTTACATTAAATCCCAATTCTTTCTTCACTATTTCTTGACAACCCTAAGAGGAATAGGTCTAAAACACTATTTTCCAAAAAATATGTGGGGGGGGGGGCAGCTTTTTCAGTGTTTCTAAGGACAAAAATCAACCATTCCCCCTCTGTTTTAGTGCTGTAAACCATACAATTTGCATTTATAGAACAATGTTCCAGCATTCACCTTTAAAGGTTCATAAATTCATAGTGAAAGCTTAACCAAGATGTGTGGGCATCAATCTTATGATGCATTAGAGCCAGAGGAAGAAGCCCCCGCCCTCCCCCCCCCCCCCAAAAAAAAAAAAATGGAAAAAAAATGGGTAAGATGAACTGTGTATGTACATTTCAAAGTGTATGTTTCTTCAAGATATGTTTGCTCCCAACCCCCACCCCCTCCTATCACCTGCCTAATCTGAGAAGGGACAGAGCCCCTGTTATTCATAACCCTTGGGCCGCCTTCTCCACCCCTCCAGCGTATTGTAGACAGACATCTTCATTTTGGAAGTTTTCATTCCTAGCCTAATAAATTTATGAAGTCATCTTTCACCCAGATGCGGGTGAACTTGAACCAAGATCGTTACCCTCTCCTACTCTTTCATCTCTCCTTTGAAAGAACTGTAATGACTCATCCCTCCCCAGGGGCACCTTACAACAGTTACATATATCCCCAACAACTACCCTGTTCACATTGCATCTATTGTTCACGTTGAATTATAGCCCAACAACTACCCTGTTCACGTTGAATTATACCCGAACTACTACCTCGTTCACATTGCATTTATATAGCCCACCAATTCTACTGTTCACGTCGAATTATAGCCCAACAACTACCCTGTTCACATTGCATTATACCCCACCAATTATACTGTTCACGTTGAATTATACCCGAACAACTATCCTGTTCACTTTGCATTATAGCCCAACAACTACCCTGTTCATGTTGCATAATAGCCAAACAACTACCCTGTTCACATTGCATTTATATACCAATTCTACTGTTCAAGTAGAATTATAACCCAACAACTACCCTGTTCACATTGTATTGTAGAGGTGTTTTGGTTGAGTGGATACGTCGCCGGACTGTCGATCACAAGGTCCGCGGTTCGAGTCTCGCCACCGCACTAATGTCCTTTGGCAAGACATTGATCTACATTTGCCACACTCCACCCAGGTTAAGTAAATGGGTACCTGGTAGGAATTTATTCCTTGAAATGCTAGAGGGCCGTATGGCAGCCGTGCTAACGCCAGGGTAATAATCGGGAGGGCCAGGAGGGTCAAATCTGACTGACATGAGCGCTATACAAGAACCCACTATTATTATTATTATTATTTTTATTATTATCGCCCAACACCTACCCTGTTCACATTGCATTATACCCCACCAATTCTACTATTCATAATGCATTATTCCCATCAACTACCCTGTTTACATTCCAAGGGTGGACCATAGACTTACATCACCTACCCCCACCAAGCTTCCACCATGTTCATTTTACAGTGCATGCCAAGAGAGGCCACTTCCAATTGCTGCATTCACGTTGTAGTCCGGAAGCATGGTCCATTTTAGCACTTCTGGTGTAAGTGGTCATATTGCCATTTAACGCTCAATATTCGTGAGTGAAACTTCTTAGACTGACTTTCTTTTCATTGTGTTATTAATGGACTGATCTCACTTTGATCTTGGATTTAGGACACCACATACCATTCACAAACTACATGCGAGCTAAACCAGATTATCTTTAAAATGTAAACAGATCCAAAGGACTGTGTACATGGACAGACTTCTCTGCTTGTTATACTACCCCACCAATCAGCCCCTGTTTGTATTCCTTGTCATAGCAGTGTATACCCTCTCGGGTGCAATATTGGGTGAAATATCCCCCCCCCCCCCCCACGATCTACAAACACCCACACTAGCTAAAACCAGATTATCTTTGAGATGTGAACAGACCCAGGACTGTGTACATGGACAGACTTCTCTGCTTACCCCACCAATCAGCCCCTGTTTGTATTCCTTGTCATAGCAGTGTATACCCCCTCGGGTGCAATATGGGGTGAAATAATTTCCCCCTTAGCCTGCTCTGCTGTCACTAATGTGTGTGCCTGCTTTGTCTTAGGATCCTCAGTATATGTTGGGAATACCGAATAACCTGTTCACTCGACTTGAGGATGAAATTCATACGAAACTTGATAAATAAACGTTGTATAAAGAATCATCACAGTGAAACACTATGAACATGACAGACAAAGAAAGCGGACAAAATATACAGTTCCTCAGGTAGACAAAGGAACATCCCTTCACTGCTATTATGCAAAAAGGTGAATATGCATGTGACACCTGTTCTACACATTTGTACATAATAGCAGTGAAGGGATGTTCCTTTGTGTACCTGAGGAACTGTATATTTTGTCCGCTTTCTTTGTCAGTTATGTTCATAGTGAAAGGAGGTTACAGACTAGAATAGAAAACAACATCGTAGAAAGAAATGTCTTATATAGAAAACCAGTTGTGAAGAGGACAATTGACATCACAGCTGACTCTTTACAGAGGATTTAACAAAAATCATTAATATATTCCAATTTCACCTTGTTTTGAGCCTCTGTGTTGCAAATTGAATTCACAAAATTTGCGTTAAAGATAAGCCCAATTGCATTTCTTTATGTGTGTACAGCAAACATGATCAAATAAAATAGAACCCCCTCCTCATTTTCAATTAAATCAGGATGAAAAACAACACATACATGTAGCAATCAATTTTACTTGGCCTAAGGGAAAAGCTTAGACAATATACCTTCTACTCCTAGCTTCCTTGTAAATATTGGGTAATACCACACTTGGCTAATATGTGAAACGTTCACAGGAAAATTGGATGATCCATTTCCTGCTTTATGGAACGTCTCATAATTGGACGCCTTCTCAGAAACCTACATGTATTTTACCCATGAATAACAGAGAAAAATTGTGAAATTGGAGCATCAAATGATGGTATCTTGACACTGCGGTTTTAATAATTCAGCTAAAGTTTGTTTTATTTTCTGTAACTCTAGACAAAACACCATCTTCCAAGTACCGTGGAATGTGACAGCTGAATTTTTCTTTTTTGATTTTCACTTTGTGTCAAATGTTGAGAGACAGAAGGGGGTTAACGCTATGATAGGATACAAGCAAATGCCCTTCTCGCTCTTACCAGACAAAATTCTTATGAGGAAAGAATCTTTACTATTTCTAATCAAAATAGTAAGATCTTTGCTTTCCTACAAATATTAAAAACCAAGTTCCCCAGGGTATGTGATAGACACGATAGGGGGCCTTGTCGGTGGTGTGCCCATGAATAACATTATAAGCTTGGATACCCTAATACATCATGCTCCAGTTGATTCAAAAAGAGAAAAAAATTCCAGGTTGCTATCGGGGCATTATAAGACTGGGAAAAATGAAAATGTGAAGGTTGAGAAAACATTCAAGAAGGCTAGATATGGCATTTCTGAATGGTGCATGTGTAAGGCATCACAGATAATGCCTTAGAATTATCTCTCAATGCACGAAGCAGTTCTTGATAAAGACCCTGTTGGAAGTGAAAAATGAAAGAGATCAATTTCATTTTGATGGAAAGCTTATAAACCATGGATTACAATAATTTCAATTATATGATCAAATCTACAGCTTTGAAAATCAGGAGTTGTCGACCTAAAACTAGCTACTGACTTTATAACATCATCTTATGTGGAGTACGCATATTCAAAATAACTTTGCATTAATTAAGCACGGCTCATTGCCTCAGCTATATACTGTATGCATGACAGGTTGGTCCACATATTATGTCATCACCATAACTGTGGCAAAGTTGACCCCTGTTCAATGTTGATCTGCAATTTGGAGGGGTGCGAAAAATTAAGTTTTAATTTGCTTTTTTGCGATACTGAAAGGAAAACTTTTTATTTTTTATTCCTCTATATTTTTATTCTATGTTCATTTAGCTTTCCATTAATATAAAATTGTATTTTCATCAGATAGGGTCATTAAAACGGTATGGTACCCTCAATGGAGTTTTTAAATAGAAAGGTGTGTTTTCCAGTCCCTTCTCGTTGAGAAAATATGTGATGCTCCAACAAATGCTCAAGTGACAATTCTCGCTACCCTAAATAGGTACGAAAATCTCGAAATTCGCGAGACGAGGTAATTTTCACTCTCTCGGGTCGTCACTACAACTTCCGGTATAGAGTCCCATCCCGCTGGCGCTAGCGCCTGTGTTCGCTGTGCATAGTTTTCACGCACGCTAAAATCGATGCCAATCAGTGTAATTTGTACAGATTATAATATGCAATGGAAAGCTTCGGGCAGAATTAGTGACTTTAGCACAAAAGGCCGTTAAACTCTACCGTGAAAGAGAGGGTTGTGATCACGAACGCCTGCACAGGAAGCTGTAATGTCGAAAAGCTATCCCATAATGCAATGCGCGTTTTCAGGATTTTCCCCGGATCTCGGCAGAATCGCTATTTGGGGTAGCGAGAATTGCTCTGAGCTTTATTTCATCAAAGATGTAGGGTTAAGGTTAGGCTTGCGATTGGGCTTTACTGATAGTAGGTTAGGTTTAGGTTTAGGGTTAGGTAGTGTTTGGTCCAGGGCTGAATTGCAGGATATTCATTGCGGAGCAGTGGTTGCCAGAGCATGTGTTGTACAACCAAATTTGCTCTTTACTGTGTTTGCAAATGTGGTTACCATTTTGCTTCATGGAATCAGAGAATCAAGTGGGATTATATGATATCATCTGAGTCATATTAAAAGATACTAACAGACAATTCCAAGAAAATGCTGTTGCCCAGGTGTTAATTTTTTGTTTATTCCATTTTCATGGCTTTTCCCCAATCGTGTCTGGATTTCCCCAGTATTGCAGCCATACACATCATGCTGTATCCTATTCTACTCCAGGATACAAGAAAGTCTGCAGTTACTTTTGACAAATAGAGACATTGAGTTTTCCAGTAACAAAATGTCTAGGAGGAAACACCTTCAGAAATGCAATCAAATGCATGTATTGTATCTTTTAATGATATTGTTTTCATGTTCTCATTAAGATATTACTTTCTGTCTTTACTTTTTGTCAGAGAAAGTTTTCTTAAGATGGTTATTGTTTAACTGCTTTCCATATGTTTTAATTAGTTCTCAAAACTGAGCAATATTCAAATAGGATGAAATAGAATCCAGATAAATTACCTACAGTGATGTCAATATCCACCTACAACCAACTGTCGGTTTTTATTACCATTATAATACAATCATGTGATATAATACAAACAAATATATACATGTAGGCAGATATTCATGAAAGCAAACTAAATCAATCCTGGTTTAGGCTTGTTGACTGTTCTTTTGAATGTCAAGCGTGCAATCTTTGTAATTCTTAGAAATCGTAGTACTTGTGTATTTAAAGCAAATTGAATCAACTCGCAAAATGAAAATGAAAGTTTGATGTAATAAATTATTCATTTAGTAACAATATTGTTTTGATTCTTACTCTATAAACCATGGGCTGTCTACAAAGACCACATTGTTTGTTTCCCTTGCAAATGGTTTCTCATTTAACATGTAAAAAAGGAACCTGTACATACCGGTAAATACTACCTGCCTATGGAGACCACTTTTCTTGTCTCCCTTGGGTGGTCTTTATAGACAGGTTTCACTGTAATATCATACAAGTCCTTAACTTTGGTGTGGTTTTGTTTCGCTTTCTTTCATGAATACAGGTTCCACAATGCTTCCAGGCAAACAGGATTAGGGAAAGGCAACTTCCAGGAGCAAGCAGCCAAGATAGATGCCATCAAGGAAGAACAGGATGATGCCCAGACAAAAGTAGAACAATGCAAGGTTGGTATTGATGAAGAGACGTTAATCTATATTTGCCATTTTTCACCCAGGTATAGGGGGTTTCCGGTAGGAACAGATAAGCACAATATTGCAAGGTTGATATTAATGATGAGAAACTAATCTACATTAGCCACTCTCCACCCTGGTAAAGTTAAAAGAACATTGCAAGGTTTGGATTAATGATGAGACATTAATCTACATTTGCCACTCTACACCATGTTAAGGGGTTTACGGTAGGAAAACAAAAGTAGAATAATGCAAGGTTGGTATTAATGATGAGACATTAATATACATTTGCCACTCTCCACCCAGGTATAGGGGGTTTCCGGTAGGAACAAAAAAGTAGAATATTGCAAGGTTTGTATTAATGATGAGACATTAATCTACATTTGCCACTCTCCACCCAGGTATAGGGGTTGCCGGTAGGAACAAAAAAATAGAACGACGCAAGGTTGGTATTGATGATGGGAAATTGATATACATTCGCCACTCTCTACGCAGGTGAGGTAAAGTGAACATTGCAAGGTTTGCATTAATGATGAGACATTAATCTACGTTTACCACTCTTCACCCAGGTGGAGTAAACGGTTATATCCAATAGGATCAAATTCCCTCAATGCTTGTGTGACTTATCTTTATATGTCAATGGAACAGATGGAATCCTCTTGTCTGCCTCTTTCCTTCTCTTTCCTTGCGCTCCATATTGACCTTTTTATCATTGATTTATTTTATCGCACGATTGCTCAAATTCTTTTTTTTTCTTTCTAATTGTTTGATTTTTCAAGCCAAATCGTTAAAAACCAGCAAGTTTCCTTGTTATAAATGTCATCATTTTTGTTGTCGCCATATCAATATTTTTTTTCCATCTTATTCAAGCTATTTCCATAATGATCATATTTCCCCTAAAGTTTAACATTTTCTTCCTCATTCCATGGATAAATTATCCCACAATACAAAAGCTGGTAGTAGGGGGGGGGGGATACATTTCATGAATTTCACTAACAATACATTATGTCACAAGCAGCCGGTTCCCTAATACATTGTACAAATATAGCCACAAGGCTTTAGTTTCTGTGAATGGAGGTTCTTGAACGGAGAGAGACAAATCCGTGGTAAGATTTACATGTTGAACGTCAAAATGAGAGGAAAAAAAGCGGTTTCACTTCCTCAAACTCTCCGAAGGTTGGTGTCCGCAGATCAGATCAAATGAAATGGAACATGACCATATATGTACACTGATAGAAACCATATCCCAGACAAGTACGGGCTTCTCACCAATATTATAATAATAATAATAATATTCTGCCTTTATATAGCGCTTGTATATTATTCAATCAAACAGTAAAGACCATGTATCAGATCACCTGAGAATACTTTCATGAAGAGTGAAACATAAGAGTAGTAATGATGATGATAATCTACATATAGAAACTCATTGTTTCTAGGCACTTTACACATTGTACAGTATGTTGTGCATTAAATGATCAAACAATTTATACATCAATTAGAAGTTTTTGAAAAGGGATTTAAACAGGGTTTTAGACTGATAGGAGTTAGTTGTTACTGATCTAAGGTTGTAGTCTGAATGCTTTGACTTTTATTTTATAAAGTGGTCGGGTCAACCGACAGAATGTAAATATACGTAGTATTTTGTGTATTTACATATGGGTTGATGCTTTTCAGGACATACATACAAGTTGGTTTATATGAATTACATCAAATTTTACCATGAATGTTCACATCTTGTCAAAACAATCCATAAATTCCAAGTAAACTTTAGCCAGTGTCACTGAAGAGGAAGTTCCTTGATTCTGAACTTAGTGTTGCCTTTGATATCCTGTGACTTCTGTGACAATAGCCCTTGTCACATCTGCAAATAATACGATACTAAAATATTCATTTGTGAGTGATTTTTTCTTGCCAACCGTTCATATTACTGAGGCAGTACCATAATATTTACACTGTAATTATACAGTATTACCCATACCTGCCAACCACCCCGATTTAGGCGGAGTTCCTCCGCATTTTTCATACCAACTCCGAATTCCGAATGCATGCCTCAAAACTCTGATTTTTTTAAAATTTGTATTATTTTTTTTTTTTTTAATTTTTTTTTTTTTTTTAAATTTTTTAGAGTGTAATGCACTTGGAGAGTATATAACTATTATGTTTGTATTTCGAAATGTAAAGCGCCTTGAGCATGTTCATGTAAAGGCGCTCAATAAATACCAATATGTATGTATGTATGTATAAGACTAAAGCATAACACAGCACTGATAACCAGATCACGCCAACATCCGCGCTCGCGCTCATAGAAGATATACACAGCGCAGCCCGAACGTGATCGTTAGTTCCCCCCCCCCCCCCAATCTACGGGCTACTACCCCAATCCTTCGGGTGTTCGCGACCTCGTAGTCCATCCAGAAAAATTTACTCCTAATTTCTCTTGTCTCAGGTTGGCAGGTATGTATTACCTATTAATATATGCATCAGCAAAACTATGGTACTATGTAGAGGTGTCATGGTCAAGGGGATAAGTTACCAGACTGTGGATCTCAAGGTCCGCGGTTCAAGTCCCGCCGCGGCACTAATGTTCTTTGGCAAGACACTGATCTACATTTGCCACACTCAACCCAGGGGAGGTAAATGGGTACCTGGCAGGAATTAATTCCTTGAAATGCTAGAGCGCCGTAATGGCAGCCATGCTAAAGCCTGGGTAATAATCGGCAGCCCCAGGAGTGTCGAGTCTGACAGATATGAGCGCTATACAAGAACCCAATATTATTACTCCCTTGCTTGGTGAGTATTGCCATGCACTGTGGTAACTCAAAATACAATGGCTGATGCACCATGATAAAAACAATAGTTCTAATCACCTGTTTGATTGGGGCGATGCACTTTACCCTGCAGGCCCCACTGTGCAAGCATTAATTTTAGGCTAGTTTTGCAGACACCATATATATATCTACCAGGTTTCAATAATTATACCTCATAATCATTCCTCCTAAATTTTGCAGGTCCCAATAGTAAAAAAGTACCTGCATAGTTGCTGTTAAATGCATGTACAGTCAATCCTGTCTACAGCAACTGCCCAAGGGAAACAATCAAATGTGGTCTTTGTAGACAGGTGGTCACTAAAGCAGGTGGTCACTAAAGCAGGTTAGACTTTACATGAAGCAGGAAGCAAAATATTGCATTATTTGATCATTCATGTATACACATTCATGTATACATGTACATATACCCGTTCATTTCTGCTGCTATTGGTAACATATCTGTAAAATAATATATTATGGATAGGTGATAGATATGAGCAGCTAGGGCTAACAAAAGTTCCTGATAGATGTCATAATCTGTCATGTAAAGCCACACCTAGAATCAGGTTACTGCTATCAGCTTGGTGCTGGTATGTAGCTCAGTTCACAGTCAGTTCAAAATCTTGGGTAAAATCAAAACAAAACCCATGGTTGAGATATAGTTAGATGAGTACCAGTAGACTTGGTTTCTATGAGAAATGGAAATTGCCTCTGAAATCAGCATAGGCTCTCTGTTCCACATTTTCATTGTTGAACATTTTCATTTTTAACTGTGACCCCCCCCCCCCTATCTCAAAAATGACAAGTTAAAAGAAGTATTACGACCTGCAAGATCCCCCCCCCCACCATGAAAATGAAAGTTTACACATATTGAGAGTAATGTTTCTCTACATCACAAACTAATTACAATGATTTACAACATGATAAACATGATTTTGAAAGTGGATTTTGCAATTGTTGTAATAGATGACGTCAAAAAGCAACATTCAATTTGTGTTAACACACATTATGATAATTCTTTTGTATAAACTGTCTCTTGCCTTTTTCTCTCTTTCTCAAGCAAACACGTATTGAAAGTGATCTACCTGCATACACAATTCATTCACTTTCATTTTTCCCCTTTAAATTGTTAGACAGTACCTTTAAGGAAAGGTGAGATATGCTTAAAAGCACTTTTTACAAATTTTGAAAAGCACCTTTAATTCTTATCATGAGGTGAAAGTTCAAATACTAGTTGTGATTAGCCTTCTGTTTATCTTGACATGCAGATACGAAACCTATTGTTTTATTCGACACCCACCGTATCTGTGTATCACATTTAGAAACTTGAATTTCACATTAGATTATTCTTGAGAGCTATATTAACCAATATCTTTCCACTATGTAAAAAGGGAAGCGTCATTGAAAAATGAAAATGCCTTGTGGATAAGACTTACATGTACAGTGCACAACTAAATTATTTTATTTATTTTATAGGATAAGTAACCATGATGATAACCAAAATTTGTCATAAAAAATTCTTGAATAACGATTGATAATTTTCATTGGACTTATGAAAAAGATAGGATATTAATTTATTATATTTCATATTGATTTTCAGAAGTGACCAAGCAGACTCTGAAATATACTCAATGAACAATGGATATTTACTCAGCTAAATCAAATTTGCTTTATACCCGAAATGTCAGGTAGTCATTATATGGTTCAGCAAATAGAATATAAAAAGCTCTCTATAGTTCTGGTTCACATGGCAACAACTATTGAACCACTGTCCACCCAGAAACTTTTGCATGTGAGTCTATCTACATGTATCTATCAAGGTATTTTCTCCCAGCTCGGAGGGTGATTGCAGCGTTTTTCCTCACATCTCTGTTTTCTGCCATCCTAGTACACTCTTTCAGTGTCATACCACACCTTGTCTTAATGTTCCCCCTCTTAATTAGTTCTTAATTTCCCTCTATGTCTGGTACCTTTTACTTTTCCATCCAATAAATCTTTTAAGAGACTTTAGGGCCCTGTCTTTATACAAAGAGCTAGTCACAACTATGTACATAAGAAATAGGAGACTGCAAACTTGCGATTGATAAGAGGACTTGCGATTGATTTGGATCAATCGTAACTCTTTGTAAGACGGGGCCCTTATGTCTTTTGATGCATGTGAGTAACTTTAACTAATTTTTGTGAGTGGTCCATTTTACAAAACTTTTACAGTACAGATTTTTTTATTTACTGTGTTTCATGAGAATATATTCAAGTATAAAAGTTGTTTATAGTATTTCTGTATGAAATACATCTAACTCTCGCACTCTGTTTTTTTCTTCTCGCATCTTTTTTTTTCCCTAGGATGCATTAGTGACGGACATGCTGAATCTAGTCTCCAAAGAAAGTCTTCTGTCCAGGAGTCTAATGGATGTGAGTAGCGTATAATGAAAACATTCCTATATCTTGGTTTGTTTCCAGTATTAGTGGTTGAGTTGTAGAACAATTTAGCTCCTGAAAGCCTTCAAACTCCTCTGGAAAACTAAATGCTTTCAGAAATGTTTTTAGAAAAAAGAAAAAGAAATGATAAATGTCATCAATATAACTTTGGGGGAAGTATCACTTTCAACAAGTCCTGAGATAATTCCTGTGAACTAAATACTAGTTTGTAAGGTAATGGATTGGTCACCTTAAAGCCCCACTGTACTACTTGCATCTACTTGCTCCCTCTATATACAAAACAATGCATAAGCGGTGCCCGTTTTTCCCCCCATGATCCTCTTTTTCTTATGTTAATCGAAAGCTGAGTTGATGAGATAGCCACCTGTCAGTGACCATGCTGGGTGGTCTAATCCTCCCTGGTCAAACTAGTACAGACAGGCTTTAAGTGTTGATCTGAAAGCTACACATTCCTTGGTTGCTTTATATCGACAAGTATATTGTCCATGTACATGCTTTCTTAAATTCTTGGTAAATTCATCAAGCAATATCAGTGTCACCAAACCCCAAGAATTGCCCAAGAATTGTCCGGTGGGAGATCCTGTTAGAATAGATATGAAGAATCAATAAATCAGATTTTTTATTTTCTTCATGTTGCGTCCATGGAGGCTCTTTTTTTAATTTCACATCTTTCAAAAGGATACTCATGTTCTGTCTTTTGTTCCCAGGAACATGTCTTGATCGTCTGCCCAAAACTTTTAAGAACACTTTGTTCTGAAGCCAAGAAACTTAAAACTTGTAGGAACTGGGGCTTTGTGTATAATGTTCTGGAATATATTAAAAAGCCATCGTTTGGGTCAGGTCAACCTTAGTACATATAGCACTGTACCTGTACATATGTCAGAATTCCCTGAATTTATCAAGGAAAATTGACAGGTATTCTTTATCTCTATACAATTCTGAATTGAATAATGGGAATACAATTTAGTTTAGCAGTCACAATGAAACTACTTTATGTTTCTATTGTCATATGTTTTAATTAATGATCAAAGACAAAACTGGAAACAGAAGTCAATTCATGGCTCAATTGTGTATAAAGGTGTTGAATGACACATATTCAAACTTTCTTAAAGCTACAATTTACACTGAATCTTTTCCTATTGAGTTTTGAATTTATGAATCTACAACTTCCTTATCCTTAAGTACCATTGATGAAGAAACCATGTACATGTATACATGTTCATGTTTGCAAGCTAAAAGAAATTATAATGTGGATCGTATAAGCAAGAAATTATGTCATTGTTTTGTAGGGGGCATTTGATATTGCAAAAAATCAAGTCCAAATTCCCGTTAGTCGTTAATTTACAGACTTTAATACAGATTGGATGAAATGGGGATCGTGTCATTTTTTTGTTGTCAACAATTATCGTTGCTAAAATGGGGTCCAAATTCTTGTTAGGTTGTTAAATTTCTAAATAAATATTGCAGTGTATTGTTATGCAAATTAGGATGCCTCATGTATGGTACTTGCTTATTCAAAGGCCTCAAGTTACCTAGGGGTATTCTGGCATGAGGTCATGTGTTATTTGAAGGAAGATCATTTTATTGAATAGTTGCCAGAAGACATGGTTAAAGGGACTTGGAACATTTTAAAGATCACGACTGACAAGATGTTTAGGTCATGATACAAAAAATCCTATTCAAAGGGTTTGGTACAGCCATAGAATTTTTTTGGGGGGAATGTACATTCCATGAAAGACTTTGGTCAAACTATGACATTTGAAGGGAATTACAGTATGTTGGTAATAAATTTATTTCATTAAATATTTACCGAGTAGACAACAACAAAAATACAAAAAAGAGAAATTGTTATTAATGGACCAAGAGAGAATAATGTGCTTGAAGTGTCCAGTGTGGTTTCCAAAAGTGGTTGGTAAGAATCACCTTTATCACAGGGGCACTGTGACAGGTTCATTGGGCGATTGTTGCTGTCTTTGTCAAGCAAATTCCTCTATGGTTTAATTTGCATGCATAAGCCCACCTGTTCAATGGTGACTGACATCAATTTCCCAGTTAGTGTAGAGTTGGCACTGAGCGTAGGGAATTACATGTTTATATGGAAAAACATTGGAGGTCATTAAAAAAACAGGTGCTGATAGAAGTTTGTCTAGATTATTAAAACGATACATGTTTGATTTAAATCTTAAAGCCCCACCTTACTACTTTTAGCTACTTGCTCCCTCTATAAAGTAAACAATACCTAAGTGGTGCCTGTTGGTCCCCCATGATCCCCTGTTTCTTATGTTAATTGAGAGCTGAGTTGATGAGATAGTCACCTGTCAGTCACCTCACTTGGAGGTCTAATTCCTCCTGGCCAAACAAGTGCAGATAGGCTTTAACCGTGGTCCTTTTCTTTTCCCAGATGGTAGCAGCCCAGGCCCAGTACCATCGCAATGCCCTGGCCAGACTTGAGAACATGGTTCCCAAGATGAAGGAGACCCTGGACCGGGACCAGCACAAGCCCACGTTTGGGACCCACCTGGAGGAGCACCTGAGGCTCCAGGACCGGGAGATCGCCGCCCCCATCGAGGTCCTCATCACGTGGCTCCTGGAGCTGGGCATCGAGGAGGAGGGGCTCTTCAGGTTGGGCGGGGCCCAATCAAAGATGAAACTTCTCAAGGTGAATATTCCACTTTGATTAAAGCCTGGTTTATGTGTGTGTGTGTCTGTTGGGGGGCGGGGACAGGTTAATCATCGTTTTATTGACCATGTCTAGGACCCGTAGAGGTCCAGGGCCCCGTTGCACAAAACTTACTATAGATGGTAACTTTGCCATCAATGATAACTACCATGGATACCTAGATTTTGTTTGGCTGTTGTGCCCTGTTACCATGGTAGTTGCCATTGCTGGCAAAGGTATCATCAATGGTAAGTTTTATGCAACGGGGGCCCTGGACATGTAACTGCTGGCACTGTGTTTTCGAAGTGGAGGGGCTGTTCCGTTTGGGTGGAACCATTCCAAAATGAAATTTCTCAAGGTGAATATGAAAACATTTAAGTAGGGTCTGGTTAAAAGACTTGGTGATTACCACAGAGGGAGAATAGGTAATCTTTCTTGAAGGGAGTCTTTGTTGTTTTGATTTTGCGTAATTTTTTTCTTGGATACCAGGAAAGTACAGTTAGCTTAAATCATAATAATTGCCTAATAATTAACTGTACATTAGTTCTAAAAAGTACAGCCATGTGTAGGTGTCATCAAGTGGTTTAAGCACATGACTGGAAAGGCTTAGGTTGTGGGTTTGATTCTGGGCATGGCACCAATGTCCATTAGCAAGGCATCAATCTACATTCATTACTCTATATCCAGGAGAAGAATGGGGACCTGGTAGGATGACAATAAATGTTTTTCTCACATCAATAATGTCTCGTCATGTCAATATTTCCTATGTAGGCTGCGTTTGATGCCAACATAGAACTTGATTTGGTGGACTTTGAATTCCAAGAACACTCCATTGCAGGTAAGTTTCACTCTCTAGTGTAAGTCTGAAATGTGTCGGAAAGTAGTGGTGAATGATTGGGGGAGGTGTTCCCCTCATCTAATGGCAGAAAAAGATGAAAATAGAAAAAGAGAGAAAGAAAAGAAGCAAGACAAAAATTTGTCCCCTTTTTTGCATCCCCTCCCTCTCATCAATGGCATATTAATTGCATTTTATTCACCAATTATGACTGCCTCACCCCCCCCCCCCCCAACCTGACGATGATGCCAGTACCCCCTTTTAGTCTTATTATACAAATTAATTATTTTAAAAAAAAACTTAGGAGCTGAGTGCAGTTAAACTTTCGAAAGAAAGGAAATTATTTTCTTTCCTACCCAGGATATTGTTCCTTTTGTCAACTGAGAAATGAATAACCTGCCTTTAAACAAAAAAATTGATCATTGATCATATTCTGTACGTTTTGCAAAGTGTTTGTGGTAATGTATCCATTACAAATTTGATATCAAGAAAAGGCAACCTTTGATTGCTTTTGCTCCTTGTGAGTTATTTGTTACTTGGACAGGAAAGAGAGGTTGAAACTGAAGATAAGGAAGCAATACAATCATTAGAAACAAGTACTAGCAATACAAAACCACCAAAAAGTCACCGTAAAATGATCTTTTTAGTTAAGGTTTGATTTTAAAAGGGAAGTTTCTCAGCTTCAAAATGATAAATAACTCTTCACATATGGATGTTCCTACTCCATGAAAACAAGAAGAATATCAAATCCAAAAGACTGTTACTTTAGAAACAAAGGTGTTTAATGTCTGTTGTCTATTATTAAAGTACTCTGACTCCCAAGGTATTGTGCAAGGTGACAAACGGAGTATTAGATATCTATAGAAATTTCTGTGAAGGCACTATCAGGTTGTTCTGAAAACTTGGCTAACCAATTAAGTACATCCTGTTCTTCATTTTGCTAAGGCATCAATGCACCATCTTACTCTATAGGCCTGTTTTCATCAGCTCGAGATTGCCAAATATCCCGCTATTTGAACTACCCCGATCTCAAATTATCCAGTTTGCGTCTTCATCAGCCCGAGGTTGCAATTAGCGGGATATTTGGTCGAGATAATCATCCCAAGATATCTTGGGCTAGTTTACCTTTTAAATTGTTGGATAGTACTAGAAACTATTGCGGGCTTTGACACATAATTTGATTGGGATCTAGGAGTGAGTTGTCTTGATTTACGCAATGTATGACATGGAGTCCCTCATTTTATGTTTTACTTCTCTTTTTCCATTAGCTGTACTAAAGCTGTATTTGAGAGAACTTCCAGCTCCTCTATTGACCTTTGACCTCTACACTGACTTCATCGAAGCCGGCAGGTAATTGAAATGTTATGTGATAAATGGTTTTTCCAAGGGATTTAGAAATGAAGTACAGAGAAAGAAAATCGTAAATATTTTAATTATCTCCTTAAAGGAAAAGTCATAAAAACCCACTTCTGCAAACTTTTTATTTCTTAAAGAATTGAATTTTTATTCTAAGAAAATGGGGGTTTCTCCTTTTTTCAATTAATTTTTTTTTCAAATTATGCCATTAAATTCTGATCCTTTCTATTCTGATCTTTTCTGATATAAGGCCCTCATTTCATCTTTCCTCATTATGATCTGTCTTGTTACTGTTATTATCCAAAGTCATTCCCTTTTCTTGTAATTTTTTTCTGTTTGTTTTCAGCCAAAAGGATCCTAATCAGAAGAAGGAAGCGTTGAAGAAGGTCGTCAGTAGGCTCCCAAAGGCCCACTTTGATAACTTAAAGTATGTTAATGTATGTGTGTGATTGTATATATATATAGATATATATGTGCATTACCATTCAACACCAACTGTTATTAAACTGATGGCATTTGATCTGTTTCTTCAACTTGGCATTTATGATTGATATTACCGGACTTGCTGTGAATCTAGTCAGATGAATTGCTTTGAGTTTAAAGATATAGACCGGTAGTGGTAAAATTCTGGTTCAAGGTTTTTGGGTGCAAAACATCCATTCGATAATGTTTCAATATTCCCTTCAGAGGTTTAGATGGCAATACTTCAACCTAAATTTGCAAAAGAGCAGAAATATATGCCCAAATGTTCAATGTTGAAGTGCGTTCGCGATATCTATCCAGGCCGGATCGATATGATAATTTACCAAATATATCAATTAGTAGGCGGTTTCCTGGCAAAATTTGTATCATCACGTATTAGTCAAAACATATTCTTTAATATGATTGGTAATAAGAGCTTCCATTTCATTTTTTGCAAAGGGGGCATTTCCCAAACTGGTCTATACCTTTAAAGTTTAAGAAGCATACCAAAGAAAAAAACCTAAGCAAAGTTTTTTTTTTTTTACTTATCTTTTTCTGCAACAGGACCATATATCTGTACATTTGATCTCTTACTCTTATTAGTATACATTCGACGATTTCTCTCAAAAATTATATTGCTAACAATGCCACATCAATGATTTCTTTCTCTCTGCAGGTACCTATGTCGATTCTTGAATCTGGTTGCTGACAAGAGTGATAAGAACAAGATGACGTCCTCCAATCTCTCTCTCGTCATAGCGCCCAACATGCTCTGGTCGGAAAAGGATGACTTAGGGTAAGAGAAGAAAAAACAGAAACAAGAAAGATGATTCTGGTTGAAAAGAGACTTTACCTGGTGATAAATATTTTGCACGAGGTGAAAGATAAGAGACCCTCTATCCATCGAGGCGCAGCCGAGTTTGACAGGGCATCTCATCTTTCACTGAATGCGATATCTTGTTCCATTGCACTAATAACGACCATTTGCTATTATTTTATACAGCACCTCGGACATTAACAGGCTTTAAAACAATTTTTGTAAAGTTTTTCCTAGGCCTAATCCAAATCTCAGCAATTTTTTTATCGATGAAATTACCTATAGTGAGCGTGCACTATTATTAAGCAGGCATCAGACCATGAATTGACCAATGAGGTTGCAAGAATCTGAGTAGGTGTTGTATAAAAAGAGATAGTAGAACCTTCTTTTTCAATTCGGTACAAATTCAGAATTCGTAAGCTCTGTAAACTACACGTTTAGGGGCAGTTGAATCATTAGATAGATATAGCTGCATATTTGAAATGAATGAATAAACTATTGACCAGTTGAAAAAAGCAAAGGAAAGGATTGAAAGCAATATCAACATCATTAAATTTCAGGAGATGGTAGAACTTGCTGTTCCAAGTGGTACATCTTCAGAATTCTTAAAGAGAAGGTTGGGTTCTGGGAAGAGGTGACAAATAATTTGTGAGCGTTATCATTTCTTATTATGCAAGTGTATACGAACATCTAATACAAAGTGTTCCCTGAAAAGCATAGCTCTTCAAATGCCTTAATATTCTCAATATGGCATGTAACATCATAAAAATCATCATCAAAATCAGGACAGATTTTTATGCCACACGTTCATGTAGTCCCATATACATCTTTCTGTGTACAGTACTTGTAACTTTTCCAAGACTGGGCCAAGTTTCTTATCATTTTGATGATTCCAGATCCTTGCAGTACACACCATTACTTATCAACCTTTTCTGATTGATTTCACTTCATTTCTTTCACAATGCAATCGCATCACCAGAACTCAACCTTATCTTCAAGCTTGGTAAACAACACATTTAGATGTAGTTGCCAGCTACATGTAGTTCATTTGATTCGTGCATGTAAATAAATGAACTATTGACCTGTTCAATAATATTGTCTTAAAATTCCAGCATTTTATCTCCGACCTCCAGGACATCGCTAGCAGCAGCGCCAGGCATCGTCGATTCCTTCATCACACATGCAGAATGGTACTTTCCCGGAGGTAAGCATCTCCTTACCATGGCATCAAATTGTCTATGATTGGGGTATATCTGTACTCTAATCAATGGATGAAAAGTGATCTATTGCTATTACTAGGTTATAAACGGAAGTGCAGACTCCTGTGCAAAATTCCAACTACCTTGGCTCAATTGTTCACCCCTTTTTTAGGCATTCATAATTTTCTTTTCAGCAACAAAAAAAAGGAATAAACAGAGATGGAAGGTCATTTCTCCTACAGACTTTCCAACTAGATAGTTGAGCACTAATAGTGGGAATAGCTGGGAAAATAAAAAAAAATAACAAATAAGAGCACAATTCTGAGTTCAAGCAAAAATATTGAAACTGCACAAACTTGAAGGTAGAGGACTGTCGGTACTCCCTTTAATCTGTAATTCGCACTGAATATTATTGCATATATATTTTTCCTGTTTGTGAAAGCATATCGGCTATTAATGATGGCCAAGTATCCTCTTAATGGTTCTCTGACTTGCCTTGTTAATGAATTTATGCAGACCGGCTTTCACTTTCTACCCGTGAAAGAGTTTCTATCGCATCTTTGTGTTGCAAGGAAGATCTTGTGGCTCATTAGGCTATTAGCTTGTGATGTTTGTATCATTACGATTGGCAGAAATGATGCATAGTTTCTACGAGGGTTGAGACACTGATTGTGCTATTAATGGTTTCCCATCAGGCATAAGTCAAGCTATTTTGGCGTTGCCCTTTAAATAGTTCTCATCAATATCAGCAAATATATGCTTCTCTCTACATTGTTCGTATAGGCTAAAATGAAATTTGGTTTCCTGCTTTTAATGCATACTAAATTCCAACCTGCTTTAAATAAACCCTCTCCAGATTAATGACTTATCAAGGTCTTAAGTTGAATTTTAAAAAAACTTTTGGAGGACAGACTAATAATTATGAGCAGTGCTAAAGAGATGCATATCCTGTTTCTTGTAAGGATATGAATTTTAAGAAAGCAATACCAACATAAAAATAGTAACTTTATAGATGATTGAACAGAGTTGGAATATCTGGTGGGCTTTCCATACTGAAATTGTTTTTTAAAAACCTGCACCACCTTAATTGTTCCCCTAGTGATCTCTACATGAACTATGCATCATTTCTTAAGCATGAGTGAGATACAACTGTCTGCCTCCAATGAATGATGAATTGATAATGTTGTATTGAAATGATATGAATGAACCCAGACCTTTCTTTTTGTGGACTGCAATCTCTATCATGTTAGCATGATTTCTGACTTAAGTTGGTGGAAGAATTACCATATGTTCATGGAGGGAAAAGGGAATAGCATTTTCCCTTAAAGAAAGTGTTTCCCTTATTTTTGGTATTATACATCAGGAATTGATCACATGTTCACTCATAAAGTTCCCATTAGCTTAGTCTTATTCATTTCTTTTGATTTTATGTTGGAAATGAATGGTTTTGGCTTTTTGGAGATAGAAGGGCTTAACTCATACTATAATACACAACTAATGCCCTTCTGGCACTGAACAGACAATATACAGATAACAACTAAATTATTCAGACCCCTTGTAATTTTTGTTTCTATTTTTGTTTTTCTTTGGAGGGGGGATGGTGTTCTTTGTAAATCAAGAATGAAAGATTGACTGGTTGAATTAGGTCCTCTGCTGAATACTTTTAGATGTAAACTGTAATATGTCACATTCACAAGAAACGTATATCGGGACAAATTAATTTTCACATACTTTAAAAAAAATTACATAACCTGGTAAGGGTATGAATAATTTAGTTGTTAACTGTATCCATGTAATGTTTCTTTTTTTCCAGGTAAATGATAAATCCAATGTATCCATTTTTGATATCAAAATTGCCATAGAATGGATACACTTTCATTAGGATAATAATACACATTATTAATCAGTGGCCCTAGAGGTAACCCATTGCCCAAGGGTACTGGGCAGTCCCTGTACTTGAGCCTTTGGGATTGACTAACTTTGGTAGTCAACGCGGACGGGTCAAGACTGAACTCACACGCTTTCCTCTCCCAAGACATCCCATATTCTCACCCAGTCCTGATACATTTAGGCATACATGATATAACAAATGCAATAGAGAGCCCTAACCATTTGTGTGCATATTTAATACCATTGTTTACTCGTTTCATATTAAATTTCATGCAACGTTTATAGTACGATACTTGTACAATTTCAACAAGTACTGTGTATATAGACACATTGTCACTCAGTGCACAAATACATGTACAACACAATCTTATTTTCTTTCAAGAGATTCTGTTGAACAAATACAAAAAACAAGAAAAATCTATGTTATTATATTTTCTATAGTTTTGCTGCAGAAATTGATGCTCAGTATAATTTTCATTGGACATCCACCTATTTTTGTATGTACGTGAATCTATTTATTAATATTAGCCAAGTATTACATCACAATCATATGCACACATATGAATTGGGCTCACTACACAACACTTATACAGAGCGCTTAGGGTACTATAACCCGATCATACCCAAATAATCATCATAAGATTAAAAATTGGTATTTAAGAACATACCCCTGGGGAAATTAGAATCGGTTCATGACTTTACCCAAATTTAAAACCTGCATTATGTTGCAAGATTTGGTTATATGATTATATAGGTTTTTATCGTCATATCGAGGCTTGCTCTAATAAAAATAACATATAGTTGGATGGGTTTGGACATCGATACATTGTGCATTAAAAAAAACTAATTTTCTATTGGTAATCATGAATTATAAAAGACTTGCATTGTTTTCAAATAATCGAATCCCAATGCTGAGGGTTAAAGAAAATGGGAAATGAGATTTGCAAAATATGCAGCATTAACATACTAATGGGAAATGCCTCTTTTTTCTTCTCTAAAAAGCCTATTTAGTGTAATGTTTAGAATTTTTGAATTATTCTTCCACATAGTTTGTAACATGTACTCTTGCAACAGGATCCCTGTAATATGAATTGGGAATTCAATGAAAGTCCGCAAATGTAAGTCCCCTATTAAGCCCTGTGAAATCATTGATGTTGGGTCCTTGATGAACATAGACTTCTCTTAAATTACTATCCAAAGACACACACAAAATATCTGAAAGATCCCTGAGAAAAAAAGAGGAAAAAGATTTGTGGTAAAAGTCAGACGTTCCGTACAGCCACCATTTCAACATTGATACTTGCAGACAAGCAAAGGAAATTGTCCAAGTTTCCAGGTAATGTGAAAATGAGAAGGAAAAAAGAAAGAATTAAAATGCACTTTCGTAGACCAAGGTAGCAACAACTCCCCAATCACGTTATATGACCCCCCTTCCAACAGAGATGGATTTCCCGACGCCATTGCCTCCAACAACACCCTCACCGAAAAGCAACTCGTTTCCAGACACCAACTCGTACCCGCTGAAGAGCCCCGACGGGACCGCGCCTTCTCTGGTACCTGCATCCAACACCACATCAACCCATTCCATTCCTTCATCGCACCCTCCCCTAGGGCCCCCACCCGGTCCCCCTCCAGGCCCTCCGCCCAACCCCCCTACAGCCATTCCACCCCCTCCCTCTCAGACAGCACCTTTGGTCACCATAGACGGCGTCGGTCCTCCCGCACCGGCTGACAAGTAAGCATGACAGGGTTAATTAACATATCTGATGAATATGCATTATCTATGGATGCTCATTTGCATGTAGTTTACATGTCATTTGCATGTTATGGTAGTTGTGTCATATTGAAGGCCATAGTTCTCAAAAAGTTCATAGACATTGTAAATTGCAGAGTTTCACACATATTTTGTTGGATTATTTTGTCACGTTGTAGGCTAGGCAGGTACATGTGGCTTTCAAAGAGTTCTTTCCTCATAAAATTGCAGAATTCAATTTGGGAGATCTTGTGAAAATAGAGAGCTAAATTACTCTCTCAAAATGAATGAAAAAATTTGAGAGGAATTCAAGAAACTGATGAGACTGCATGTACATGTATTATGTAACTAGTTGGATGAATGATCATGATGATCGCCATTTTGTTTGTTCATCCACATAGTGCATTGATTTCTAAAAATAGGATTTAAAATAAAATTTCAAAATCACGAGTGTGAAAACCTGTAACACAATCAGTCATGCTCATGAGTGATTCTTTGCACTTTGCAGAAATGCATGTCAACGTTTTGAGTTTGTATTTACCCTTCCCTGTCATTCACAAATTGCCTGATATCTGTTCCATACTGCTTTGATTTGATTTGTTTTGATTTGATTTGAATTTTTGATTTGATCTAAGTTTTCTAATCATCTTCCTGCAGATGTTATGACATCTTTTATTCTTGTGTCAGCTTTACTTGTCATCTCTTTATTTTTTAACAGTTGTGGGTTGGTGAATTAATTATTCTTAATCTTATCTTGCATTGCTTGTATTTTCCTGTGCTTGTACAATCTGTTAACTGACCTTTGCACAGATAACCTCTTTAACTAATTAACTAATTAACAAGTTTACATTCTTTTGATGATGATGTCAATGATTTGGAAATCATGGCATGTCCACATGACCACCCCACCCCCTCCCCGAATTCCGACCCCCCCCCCCTCCCCGAATTCCGACCCCCCCCCCCTCCCCCTTCCATAAAAACTATTCTAGTTCAATGTATAATTTTATGACAATGATCTGAATATGTCAATCAAGGCCTAACCAGATAATCACAGATACCCCCTCCCCTCCCCTTCCCACATTTGCATCCATGGATGACTACCCCAAGCAGGACAATTGAACCTTGAACTTTACACCCCACCCCCACCCCCCCCCCTCCCACCCCCTTGTAAATATTATTAGTTCCGTTCTGATAGAGCAATTTTCACTGCATTTGAAAATGGTTTCTATACAACGCTTCTGAAATTTAACATTCTCTAACGCTTTAGTACGGTTACGTGCTTAGGCATTCACGAGCATTAAGACATTAATAGGGGTACGCCTTTAAGCGCTTCTGGGCAAGCAAGGGTCTTTTGTTAATACTGTTATAATAATCTGAGAGAGAAATTTTCACTGTGTTTGAATATATTTTAGATAAGATGCTTCTAAACTAGAACATGTAAACCTATGGGTAACCATGGTTACTGGGATTTTAGAACTATTTTTAGAACTATTTTCCCGGTAACCATGGTAACTGGGATTTTAGAACTATTTTTTTGGAACTATTACATGGGTTTGGGATTTTACCGGGAATTTTGCAGGAATAGTTAAAGTTTATGAATGCAATTTCGACCAATCAGATGGCTGGAATTCTTAAGTGAGGTATATAATAATAATTAAGTGCTTAGTAATGCATGGGTGATATACAGATATAGAGATACCGGTAGGCTATCAAGCTCTTCTTGGCAAGCGGTTGCACTCCATATAAGATGATATTTACATATGTACTTACCTTAATAAATAATTCATCTGTTTTGAGCCAGAAGGGCATTAACTTAACACCCTTCTGGCTCCAAACAGATAATATGTAAACAAACAACAAATTTGAGTTGAAGATATTAAATCTTCTTAATCTAATACAACAATGTTCTGAGGAAAATATGAAATATTATATGAAGTGTACCTATATATTCTAAAATATGTTTAATCTGTTGATGTTAGATGTTCTGTCAATTATATCAGGGTATATTTCATATTGTTTTTTATTCTTTTTCTTCATTTGTTTATGTTTTGTGTGGTTACCCGACATCATTTCGCTTCATATATATCTGTCATACATTAATATAGCCTTTATATTTAAAAAAAAATATCATACTCATTTATAAACTTCCGAGATATATATCATTTACATGTAGTGTATAGTACTGAACATAGATGTTTAAGTATGCTTAGTGATATGGCTTTTGTTTCGGATATAATATCAGCCTTAACTAGATGAATGGCATGTTAGAAGAATTTGCAACATTCCTTTACAATGTTTCTAGAAAAATGACCATAATTATATACTCCTTGTTACAGTGATAATTTAGAAACTCTTTTCATGAATGTTTTGAATATGAATTGTAATGCTATTGTGTGTTTTATATTTATTTAACAACAAAATTAATGGGATAATATGAGGTTTTCACTGGCTAAATTTTGCATTAAACCAACAGTTTATCTATCTGATTCGTATTATGGGTATGTCATCTAAATTGACAGTCTATTACAAGTAAATCTTGCTATTCTAAAATAATCAACAAATTCCTTGTTTTTATGAATTGAACCACAAATCATCAAGGTCTATATTACTGTTAATGCTGTATTGAAATTGAGCAGATAATTCTTTCACATATCAGAATAACAGACTTGAGAAAATAATTGATATTGCCACAAATCTCACCAAATAGTAATCTCTTCAAGATATTTTTGCTCTCAATTGAGAATTCATTATGTCACCATACATGTCATAAATGTTTTAGAGGATTAAAATATAGAAAATTTAGTATCTTATAAAACAGGAAGATTGTGACCGATAAGAATATGACAAAATCCTTAGCATAGTACCAGGGTAGTGTTTTAAATCAGGGTTGTGCCAAATTACATATATATATATATGAAGTGGAATGATGTATTTTTCTAACCACTGTTTTTATTTAGTGACTTATGTTACTACGTTTCCTCTTTCCCCCTTCTCTTTTTATTTGCTTCGATTCCTCCCTCTCCCCTTCATGCTTTTGTACATGGCTTTGCCTGGGTATTCTTTTAACCCATTCCCAAAACTATATTTCACTCTTTCCCAACCACTATATTATACAAATTCTCTCTTTTCACTTCCTTCTATGTTTGTTCTTGTCTCTTTGCTTGAAACTATCTTCAATTTCATCTTACTCTCTTCTTTTTGCTATTTTCCTTTGCTGCGAATGAATACTCATGATATGAATGTGCTATTTCATTTGTCCCCTTTGGTCCTTCTTTCTTTCTGTCTTTCTTTCTTTCTTTCTTTTTCTCTTTCAACAATATTTATTTTCCCTCAAATTTCCCCATATCAATCAACATGTTCATCTTGCTGCCTTTCCCCATTATTTCTCCCTCCTCTCTCTCTGCCTCTCGCTCTCTCTCGCTCTCTCTCTCTCTTCTCTCTCTCTTCTCTCTGTCTCCTTCTCCCCCCCCCCCCCCCCTCTCTCTCTCTCTCTCCACTCATCTTTTTGTTCTCTTTCTTTCATCATGTAAATTGACTTTATGTTACTGCACCCCTGTTACCCTTTTTTGGGCATGAAATTGATTTCTTGTCTCTAACCCTGCACCTCTCTAACAACCACACCCTATTTGTGCCACACCCTGTATAGCTGCAGCCCCAGCAGTCACCATCCCGGAGCCAACTTCACCAAACGACGAGCACCTCTACCACCACCACCACCTGTGCCCCCCAAGGGCGACCGCCAGTCCCCCTCCACCATCCCCAAGAGCCCCGTCTATCCACCCCCTCGCCCACCGCCCAAAACCAACTCTCTCTAGGACGACTAGCCGTCCGTAGTGCCTCCTTGTAGCGATGCACGCATGCAGCATGTCCATTGTTTAGGTATACAATGCATTTTTCTTGTAATTTGTCATTGAAGATTTTCTCCACCCGCTCTCCACACAAAATAAGTCTAGAAAACGAAGCTCATTGCAGCGTTAAGTTTTGATCACTGTCATGGCAATCATGGAGTTTAGAAAAGGGTATAGAGTGGTCTGGGTCCCATCCTTTTACTTTGAATATTGTCATCGCGCACCCATGTTAGAGATGGAAGATAGCTCTTTAATTTTGAAAAAAGAGTAGTATTTGACTTCAATTCAATTATAAAAGCACTTTATCGCTTTTGCCAAGGAATGCCTGGAAGTTTAAATCATTTAATGTGTGTTTTGTGGAGCGGGTGGAGAGAGTTTGTCCTCCATTTTCTGATTCTAGTTTTAACATATAAAATCAACCTCCATAGTGATAAGGAAACAATTTATGAAATTAGAAACAGAGATTACTAGATATTTTTAAAACTTGAAGTTCTTTTCATCCACATTTCAAGACATGATTTGGGAGAAGAAAGAAAAGTTTTGTAATGTATTAATCCAGACTTGAGGCACATGGAAAGTTAAAAGATATAATCCACCTAGTTAATCTCTTTTTAAGATGAAGCAATAAACGCAAAAAATTATTTATGAATAGCATTACAAAGAATGAATAGTGCATCATGTATTCGATTAGCATGGAATGGTTGGATGATATCAACAGTATATACATTTCATTTGTAGTTTGTGTTATCATCTTGGGTGCCTATCTCTGGGTCTATCTATCTATCTATCTATATTTATCTTTCTTAAAGTCCCACTGCACTACTTATGGTTACTTGCGCCCTCTATATAGCAAACAATGCCTAAACGGTACCCGTTGGTCCCCCATGGTCCCCTATTTCTTATGTTAATTGAGAGCTGATTTGATGAGATAACCACCTGTCAGTGACCATGCAGGGAGGTCTAATCCCTCCTGGCCAAACTAGTGCAGAGGGGGCTTTAAGTTCACTGTCCTTTTCCCTCTTTCTCTTTTCATCTATGACCCTTTCTATTCCCTTTTCTTTCTCACTCTCATTCCCTCTCTCAATAATTATCATGATCACGCTCTACTCCCTCTCATTTTATCATGCTCTATCTCTCTCTCCCTCCTACCCCAGCTCCTACAACCCCCCTCTCTCTCCCTCCCTCCCTCCTTCCCTATGTGCCTCCTTTCCTCCTCCCTCCTTTCCTCCCTCCCCCTTTCCACCCTCCCTTCTCCATTCCTCCCTCCCCTTCCCTCCCTTCCCCTTCCCTCCCTCCCCCTTCCCTCCCTCCCCTCCTTCCCTCTCTCCCTCTCCTTTCTCACTTTCTCTATCCATTCCCACCCTCTCCTCTTCTCCTCTCTCTCCCTCCCACCCCTCTCTTCTTTCTCACTTTCTCTATCCATTCCCACTCTCTCCTCTTCTCCTCTCTCTCCCTCCTCCTCTCCCTCCCACCCCTCTCTCCTTTTTCACTTTCTCTCCATATTCTCTACCTTACCTTCCTCTCTCTTTCTCATGATACATATCTTTCCATTCACTTTTGAACTGTCCAATATTCTCTTTTCAACTCTGCCTTTGGAATCTCAATTCTAATAATGAGGGGAAATCTTCAGCATTCTTGGGCAATCATCTATTTCACAAAGGAAAAGCTCTGATCTCATTTTTAGCAAATTTCTCCCAAGATCTAAAGTATGCTCTAAGCTATATTTATGTTCATGTACAATTTGGAATGGTAGTTCATTTTGCATCATGCCATGCATTGTATTATGGTCATATCATGTTCCAATTATCACAAAATTTATGTAAAAACTCATCCTCAGTATAAATATATAAAAACATGCAAATGCAACTTTGCAGGTAGAAGTTTTTCCCCCTCCCCCTCCCTTTTTTTAGTTTTGGTTATAAGGGTGTTCTTGTGCGATCCAATGGTACTTCTTTTACATACTGCTTCAATTCTTGATTTGCATTACACCTTGAATGGCAAATTTTTCAAGAAAGGGGCGGCAGACTACATCATATGACATTGTTTAGATACATGCCTGCCTCAGGTTTGTGGAGTCTTAAGTAACAAGATATGCCAAAAAGAAGAGCCAATCAGCTATGGCATTGTATGAGCTGCAGAATATATAAACAGAATTTCATTAGATTCTGTGGTTTTCTTAGGAATTTAGGAAAGAGTTTGATTTGAGGGTAGGAAGGCCTTTTGGTCATAGGAATATATTTTCTTTTTTTCTGCCCCAGCAATGCCAGCATCCTGGGGAAATGAGTTGGAAACTGCGCTCTTAATTCCTATTACATGTATATCGAATATTGAATATCGACCACGCCCTAGTTGTCACCAAAGCATGCATCTTGGAATCTATCTTCCACTTTGAATATCCACATGAACCATACCCACATATTTTCTGTTTTTGTTTTCCTTTTCTTCAAATTTCATGTTTACATCAACTTTCATCATTCATGTTGTTCTATGCGATCATTCTGTGCGCATTCTTATTTCAATCACATTATTCTCATTTCAAATTGACTCGGCTGAGTCACCATTTTTTCATGTCACTCCTCCTACGCACATGCTTGTAACCTTGTTCATTCACGATTTCCTTTTTTTTCTCTTGCTAATTGGACATTCAAATTTGCAAAAAAGCAAAAATTATTCACTTTCTATTAGTCTTTAGACAAAAAATATCTAATGTTGCATTGGTTCTGTTATTATTTTGGTTACATATGAAGGTGAATGGATGCATTATCTTTTGGTTTATTCATCAAGCGCTTTATGTTCTACATTGGTTGCATTAGGCAACTTGTTTTCTTTCTCTTTGCCATCTTCATGTAATCATTACTACATTTATGTAAACCGCAGAAATAGAGCTCATAATGACTATTCAATTCATTAAATATTCATTAAATTTTCATCAATTAATTTGTCAGTGGAGAAAAGTGGTAATGATTGGTTTTTTAATTCATGTCTTATCAATCTTTGTTCTTTTAACAAATTTCTTTAGGTTCATCCCAAAATTTAAGATTCCCTTCATTTTGTCATTTCATGTTTACATGGTCCAGTGTTATTGTTTTTTTGGTGGAATGTTGTTTTTGTCAAGTTCAAAAGTTGTGTGCCTCAGGTCTGGATTTTGCTTGTATTTATCAGAGATATGCAAATGTTATTTCTTTTAATGAATTTTCGAACTATACTGTGCCTTTGTATCCTTAATACAAATCATGCATTGTGATGATTGAATATCTGATGAATGATGTTTACCGGTATGTGCACATTTACTGAATCTGTGAAATGGTAAGAGTGTCATTATGATGTGAATTAACTTTTCTTTTTTTTTGTGTGTGATCATTTTCCACCAGACCCCTCAGAAATTCCACACTTCCTAGGAAGTCAGTGAAAAGAGTCCACGCCCCTCCCCCACCCGTCAGTGTCTCACCGGTCCCCTCCCCGACGAACAGCCTGACACGGAACACCCAACCCCCGGGAGCCCCCCAGCCATCTAATCAGAACACTCAAAACAATCACAATAGTCCTGAGTTAACAAGAAAACTAAGCGACGCGAGCTCGCTTTCCACGAATGGCACGGTAACCAAACCGGAGCGCCCTCCCGACAAGCCCCCCATCGCGGGGAAGCCCCCCAAGAGCGAGAAGCCGATCGTCTCGTGGAAGCCTGTCCCCGCCGACAAACCACCCGTCACCGACAAACCCACCAAGCCCGAGAAGCCTGTAGTTCCAGTACCTAGTCCTACCAAGGAGCGTCCGGGGTCAGGGCGGGACAGTATCGACGGGACGGGCCTGTCTCCGAACCCCCCTTCACCAAATAGCAAACCAAAATCGGCAGCGATTCAAAGGCCTACGATGTTACCCCCTCCTCCGCCACCTACTGCATTGGAAAAGAAGGATGGTATAAATACCCAAAGTAGTTTTGATACGGACTTGTGACAAGGTCAAGCCACAATCTAGCTATATTTAGAGATACTTTCAAGTTGCCACACTTATTTTTACTTCAGCATCACTTCATAGTTGTCCAGATTACGTATGCGAAGAACACATCTAGATCCAGTCAACCAATATCACCAACTTACTGAGGATGGCAAGACTTTACCGGCTCTGTATGACTTAGTCAGTATTTTTGACAGGTTCAAGAGTCGATTCTTCACATTGTTGGGATATTAGTATACTTTCATGAAAGAAGGAAGATATTGTTTCTCTTTTAAGGTATTTTGCATTTTTCACGATAAACTATGTATAAGGGTATATATATATGCTAGGAACACGGTAATGCACATGGCAGTCAACTTGTGCAAATCATTTTGACAGTGTAGGCAAATTGGGCAATCTTTGTTATACCTGTGAACACAACTGAATCATGTCATGAAGATATATAGTTGATGAATATACTGAATATACTATGTGTACAGAAATATGAAACTATATCTTTTGAGATCAAATATTGATGTTCATGTTACATGTATGTGAGATATTTATTGATAATAGATTGGGGTCATGCTGCATATGTTTTAGGAGTGTATTTTTGTTGGTATCTTTGCTTTTGGTTTTGTTCATGCAAATAATTGTTGACAAATTTGACAATCTACATGTATAGAATTTGATGTTATTTTCACGACTTTTGTTTCATAAACCTGCTTATTGCTCCCACCCCTGCCAAAAAAATAAAATATTGGAGGATCAAGGTGAGTTGATGGCTCTTCAAGTTCATCATCTCCATTAAAGAATACCTACCGGTATACATGATAGTTATTTCATTTCAAGCTTGCTTACTTTCAAACATTGAAGGTGTGCACCTGTGTTCTTTAAATACATCTCAAGGGGAAAAATACTGTGCAGCATGGCCCTGTACTTTCTTCTCATTTCTTTATATAATACATTTCATATCCAAGTTTTTCATGGTCTGGAAAATGGGTATTATGTTGGAAGTGTTTTTCTACAAAATTTTGAAGTGCTTTTATCTTTTATCATCTTTAATTGGAAGTGATTGCAAAGAAGTTATGTGTACTTTTCCCCATGCTTAATCCATAATTCTTTACATAAGGAAAAAGCCAATTTATGTTCATATTGCAGATTTATTTCGTTTTAAAGACTCCTAGCTGACATTCGCATCTATGATCTATCCGTTTTACTTTCATCAAATGGTAACATTTTCTGGAAGATTAGTGTACTTTTGGTAGATTTGAGGCAAACTGATGATTGACAATTTTTTTTACCTTTCACATATATAGAGGGAGTTATATACCATTGCTGTGGTATGCAATATTGGACAATCTGTTTATTATCCAAAGTTAAAGTGAATCTTGGGTACTGGTAATGGATTGAACTATCAAGTGGAAGCCGATCTTCTAAGTTTTTCGTGCAGTAAATGCGTTGTTTAGACCAGCAAAATATCAACAAACTATTAAAAAGTGTCTCGAATTTTATTCACAGCTAATCACAACTCGTATTTGGATGCAGGGCCGACCTCATGTTATGCGCGTGTATGGAGACTACTAATTCTATTCTGATCTTACATGCAGATTATATCTCAGATATAAGGCTATTCCATGCAATGTGTATCACATGACAAACAACTTGAATCAACATGTTTCATTCAGAAACGAAAATATCATGATTTGACCATTCACACATGGTTCCATCGATATCACTACATGTATGATTAGTCAGGGGTCATGGCGTGAAATTTTCTTTTTCGAGATAAAATGTACGGATAAAAGACATGTGAAACGGGACGTGTGGCGCAGAATCGCTTTATTCTTATTTTCTACCAAATTCAATCGTCATATAAAAATGTATTTGTAGTCTTGATATTCAGTGTAAATTAGATTCATAACTCAAGATTATCTTTAAAGACATCGATGCGTTGATTTCATCCCCGTCACAATAATGGCACATTCCCAGCAGGATACTAAACAATGGCCAACTTTGGCGCATTCCATTTTATGAATAGGAGGCAATATATAAAGCTGATGAAAAAAATGAAACTATTTTCCTTCAACTAGTGTAAGGTAATTTCGCACACTGTAGAAGCAGGTGTTATATTTTTCTTGTGTACAGTTATCTACGTTAAGTAAAATCATTGAAAGTGTTTGTGGGTCTCTTACATGAATGTTTGGTATTTTAAATGTTTAGATAATTATGATTTATAGCATAAGGCTGGCTGGTACCATGCAATTCTCCTGTTTTCTATGAAAACAAAAATTCCTTTGCTATTCTTATGTTTATGTTATCAATTATATGCTCTTTCAAACACCATATTAAGCCACCCCACAAAACAGATGCAGCAAAATAAAAGTCACACGTCACACGTTGGAAACCAAGTCAATGCGCTTTTGCCCTTTGGTAAGGCATTAATCCTCATTACCAAGTCCCTTGGAGAGGACTTAAAGCCATCTGTCCCTTGGTTGCTTACCTACAAGCATATACATGGTTTCTTAGCAGGCAAGTTAACAATCATCAACCATCAAATGAAACAGGGATGGGAAGAAGGTACCTGTATGTAACATAGGGCCTCAAGTGTGCTCCCATATCTCTGTATTTTACTGGTCTGTTTGTTTTACATGACTGTTAAGAAAGCATGTTTGCAAGTAAGCTACAAGGAGACCAATAGCTTTTAAGTCCTGTCCTACGAACATGGTAAAGAGGATGGATGCCTTACCAAAGTGCACGAGCGCATCGACCGGGACGTCCCTGTTCCGAAACTTCTGCTCTACCACTGAGCTACCGTGCCTGTTATAAGGTACAGGGATGTGAAGCGCTTTATTCTAGTGAAATTCATTTTGCCACTGCAGTTATTTTTTTTTTTTTGGGGGGGGGGGGGGGTTACCATTTCATATGTTAAAGAAGGCTTACCTGTATGTGTTGAGGAAGATGTGGTTTATCTTGTTCCTTTTTAAAGACTACACTTTGCCAAGAGAGAAAAAAGTTGATTTAGTTCAGTTTGTGTCTTCCCCAGTATACATTGACATTAGTTACATTTACATTTTAGAAAACAATCATTAGAATCCGGGAGAAGATCAAGAGGTTTAGGATGTTGAATCTCATTTTGTTTGACCTTGTTCATTACCGGTAAATTTAAAGGCCAGGTTAAACCCTACACAAAAAACTTTTGCTATAACCTCTACCAATATTACTGCTGAGTACTCACTTGAAATCATATTTACCAAAATGCCCAACTCACACTCCCCCCCCCCCCACACTCACACTCACACACGCCCCCCCCCCCCACACTCACACACACACACACACGCATCCCCCCACTCACACACACACATGCGCCCACAAACTTTAGCCCACAGGGTCAGGAGGAGGAGCTTGATTGTTTTATATATTTACTCCTTAACTTGAGTTAACATTTTTCCTACAGCCATCATTCAGTCTTTAACATTCTGTATAAGTTAGAGTGAATCATGCGTCTAAATTTTATTCTGAGGAAATAATGCATTTTCCATCATTACCAGATGTTATGTTACCCCGTCAATTGTGTCGCTTGCCTGTTTTGCATACCGTCTGTTTGGAGCCAGAAGGGCGTTAACTCTGTAAATTTATACGAGTCAAGGCCCTTGTATCTCCAAACAGACAAAATATTGCAAAGTTAACTCCAGAATATATCCTCTTGCCTTGCTGATAAAGTTGATTGTCTGTGGAAAGTTATCTAAATGCACATGCAGCACCCTATCTAGTTACAATCTATGTAAAAAAACAAAAATGTTGCTCAATCTTAGGTGCTGAAATTTGCCGTTAAATCTTCCATCCTTCTCAAACAAACAAGTATTTAAAAATCAGAGTCATTAAAGGTATTACAAAGTTTTGGTATGGGGTCATGAATTTGGTTCAAATTAACATATTGGAAGCATATGCGTTCCTACAATATTCAGTGATCGTTGTCCCGGTTGAAATCGAGTCTAAAGTTATGAAATTATAAATAATAAGCTCTTTATGTTGTATAGCTCCCTCTCAAGGTCAAGATATTAATTTAGCTATGAAACAATGTGTCTTGACTAAAATCGACCGTTGAGCTATTCCCGTTTGGAAATTATATATCACAACTACATATTCTGAGATCTTCATGGTCGCAGCTACCATTGTACGGGCCGTAGGCGCTATTTGAAATTTATCAAAGTTTACCGGGAGCACTGGTAAATTTTTATATTAAATTTTTCTTGAAAACAGAAGTGTTTAATGGGTAAATTTGTTTAGTGCTTATAATACATCCACAGGGGCATCCAAATATATCAAAATTGTAAAGATTCACTATCCACCCAATTTTCAAAATTTCCCAAAACTTTGTATTACCTTTAAGGGGGAGGGGGGGGGGTGGTATTTGTCATCATTTATGTTTCATAAAGGCATGACTTTTGCCATAGCCATGGCCAAAATCGTTTTGAATTTTAAATTAATGCCATGTTTGCCAAGATTGGTTCCTCTTATTCCATTCACATCATAATTACTCTACACTGAAGAAACAAGCCATTCTTTCAAATTCTATTTTGACTGTTATTCATTTAATTTTAATTCCATTAAGGACAGATTTCGAATTCCAAAAATAAGTCAAGTGAGAAACATTTTAATTGAATGAGATGATTTAGCTAAAATAATTATTCATCAATTAATAAACACTCATATTCATTTCATAATCATTTTGACAAATGAGTATTTTCTTTCCAATGAATAGTACCATTGTGAATACATGTATGCAGCTATTATAAGTATTGTGATAACACTATAATTTTCCCTATTATTTCTACCTAACTGATATTATCAATAAGCAATGTTATAAATGCTCTTTATTCAATATTATTTCTCTTCAATAATTAAGTAAATAAGCTCTTCTATTGACATACTGTTCAAACGTGTGAAATCCCTTATTTGATTAATCTATGTATGAACCAAGAAACATATACAGATAACTTCAATATATACACACACATATTTGTCAGAGCTTGCCAAATTGATCTCAGACCAGCAATGAAGTTACCCCATACTTTTTATATTTTTATATGAAAATAATAATTCAAGACAATTGATTGTGAGACACATAGAACCATTAAATGTTTCACAATACAATGGATGAAGGATTCTATCGTCTTTCTGATAAAATTTTGTTTAATGGATAGTTAAACAGCCTATTTCAAAATATTTGACAAAATCATCATTTGTTTGGTGCTTGGTTTGTTCTGCCACATTTCTGTGCTGCTTAGATTCCTGTTAAGTGCTCTTTCACCTATCCCCTCCTTCCCCCCCCCCAAAAAAAAGACAACTTTTAATTCAATGAATAATCTATAACTTTGCGGCAACAGCATCCATCATGAATAATATCATTTGAATGTTTTCATATCCTCCCATGACGGTATACTAAAAAATATATATTTATTCAACTTTATAGAACACACTGCAGTATTATTCTTATTGTCCAAATACAGAAAAATATTATTTATCCACAATTCCGTAAATATGGCGAGCAAAGTACCATTTAAATACATAACACTGATTACATTGTTATGAATATTTGCAGCACATAGCTCCAGTTTTATACTAGCTCCTTTATTGCATCAAAGACACAAAACATATTTGAGTAGGCAGGAAGTTTGATCTATTACAAGATGATAGAAATATTTTAAACATAAATTATATATGTATATATAAAAAGGAAAAAAAAAATCGCTTACAATTTTACTATTTCTCACCCAAAACTTATAACCATTCCAAAGTAGATATTAGAAGTAGCATTTCATAGGATTTGTATGTTAGAAGATGAATATTTACAGAAAATAAGGAAGAATTACGGTAGTCTTCAGAAGAGTTGAGGGCAGTAAAAAAGCGGCTATAGGGCGTCTTGACGAATGTTCCTTTTTATACATTTCTCACCATTTTTCTTTTTAAGGGTGATCCATCTCATTCTTGCAATCGTAGGACTTCACTGGCTTTATCATATTTCTCAGCTCATTTTTGTAAGGAATATGGAAGTGTCTTGCTTTGATCAAAACCAATATTTATTCGAGGAGCTTCCCTCCATGTTAGAGATACGAATGTACAAACACGGAGAATATATTTTACAGTGTGGGGATTGTCATTTGATGTGCGACTATTTGTGAATGCCATTATGATCTTTTGATAGACAACTGACAACTGAGAGTCAACAGGCCATTAACTATCTCAAAAAAAACACAGGAATAAACCCATGTTCAGATGGGTAGTGGTAAACCATGACAGGTTCTTTGTACGTCCTGTAAATGAAGGGCAACTGCATATTCACTGAGCTCTGTGTAGTGAGATACAGAATTGCGAAACATATTAATACATGCTAAAAAAAACGTTGACCATGGTTTTAATGTCAAATAAAAGGCTTCACCATCCTGCCTCATGTACCAGCTTCCCAACTATTTGTTAATGGAACATCACAATTAATCTTTGATGTGTTCTGGGGTTGTTCTTCCCAGAGTACCTATATTGTGACGAGCTATTACATATTGTGTAATTTTTGTCATGTTACAGATTGATTATATTGGTTGGTACTTGTTTTGACAGCTTGACATTTCTCTCTAGAAAACGAAGTCTAAGGATTGTTTAAGAATAAGATCACTTTTAAAACTATGGTATCCATGTTTGATCGTTAACACATACACAAATTCAACTTGTCATCAAGAGAGTATATAAAAAAGTATTTGTAAATGACAAAGCAGTCACCAAGTTTGTTTAATGATTACATTAAATGATTAGCTCAGTTAAGGATGTCCTCAGACTGTAACACAAAATTATCTTTTATTTTATCACATCTAGCGTGCACTTTGATGATGAATTTTAAACATGTGCTTTAAGGGCCAAGATGTATCTTTCCAGGTGATGTTTATGGATCCTTTTATGTGTGGTTATTGCTCGAAGAAATATTTTACTAACTTTGATCCACCCAAATAAGAGGTGGGTTGAAAATTCTGATATGTTTTATGTAACTATTTATGTCGTAGGAAGAGGAAGGGAAATGGTCGGAAGAGCAAGCCAACTTTTCATTGTATGTATTTTATAGTGGGTCAGCTCTGTATTATTGCCTGTACTGTATAAAATTGTAAGAAAAGGACTAGAATTGTACCCCGACACTTTTGTCGTATGTAAGAAGAATACATGTTTGTAATAACAAATTACACAAATATGACAAGAAATGTGTTTTGGACTCCTCATTTTACAAATGTTTTGAAAGGCCTGAGCATCAAGAGAAATGAAATGCATCTTCATGGGGACCCTCATTAGGATCCTCACATTAAAAGTAAAACAAAGTTTATTTCTTTTTTTCGGTAAGTTGGTGTAGGCTTTTTTTTAATAAACAGTAGAGCACTCATGTCTGTCAGACTAGACAATCCAGGGGCTACACAAATATAACCAAGGCTTTAGCGAGGCCGCTATTTAGGTGCTCTAGCAAGTTGAGAAATCAATTCCTGCCAGGTACCAATTTACCTCGCCTAAGTTGAGTGTTACACTGAGTTTTAAGTGTCCACTGGAAGATGGTTAAGCGTTTCTTTTGATGTTCAGTATATGATGTTGAGAATATGTGATCATAATATCCATAATTACAGGCTATTTTGCCAACGTCATGTCGGTGTGAGAAATACTTCTCAGAAACTTTCTTTCTATTATATTTAATCATGGCAGCATAGTCTCAGAATTGGCAGAGATTTCAATACTTCATGATAATTGCGGTTACCCCAGAGGTATATGAAGGGTACAATCGCATGACAAAAAGGTACTAGCTCACCCATCACGATCAGAAGGAAAAACACTTGCTGATTGTCTGCTGTATATTTACGCGCAACAAAATTCGATGCCAATGGCAATAGCATTATGATATACATGACAATCATCATCTTCACCAGTCGAATCTCTGCCTTGTTACTATTATGAAAGCTGGGTTGTGTCTTCAGTTTCATTGGTTTTAAATGACCTGTATTGGATACGGAGTTCAGGTGTCGTGATTTTGAGTTTGGTGATATACATTTTTCTCTTCCGGGCTGCAAACTGCCTTCCCCCTTCAGGATGATAGCTTTGAGTACATATTGCTGCATTTCAGTGGCATTACCATGTTCAGAAAGTGTTGATATTGAAGCAGAAATCTTCCTGAAGCTTGGATCGGTAGCACATCCTTTGCTGCAGCAAGCAGCCTCTTCCATTTCAGGACATCCCACTCCTGACATCTCAATTTCTCCAACGTTGAATGCAGCAGACACACTTGGAACTCCTATTCCTGATTCGTTTGATAATACAATGTGCATTGAAGTATTCATGGCTTTGTCCTTGATGCTTGTGACACGTTTGCGGCTTTTTCGAATCGTGCAAATGATGATGGCATGGCAGAGTGGTATTACAAACATAGGGGTGAATATAAAGAGGGATTCAAAGAAGATGTCTAAATATTCCACCCATGTTTCTGTTAATCCTTTTACTGTACAATAAGGTTCAACTTCGACGTCAAGGTAAGCAAGTTTTAGACCTTCCCATAGTACAAGGAGCGAGTACATCATGATCAAAATGGCAGTGATGGCTTTTCTGTGACAGTATCTTGGGAACATCTTTTGCGGTGATTTGATCAAAAGACATCTGTTCACAGCCACACATAACATGCTGAAAAATGCTGGATACAAAAAAAACATATCAAAGATCAAGTATATAGACACACAATTGTACAATGAGTTCAATAAATTTAACTCTGGTCGT